TACAGAACAAAGCATCTGTCGTCTCAAGACAAGATTTAAGAGTTGTGGGTTTCCCGTCAGACGAAATGGCGAGGCACAACTGAAATAACGGGCGTGGTGTAAACATCCCGTCAACTGCCGCCCCCCCCCCCCCCCCTCTCCCCTCTCCCTGCACGCTATGGTGTAGCTGATGGCAAAAAGATTTGAAGTCATTGGTCAAATTTCTTAGAGGATGATTGATAAAACTATCGTGTTGAGTATCGCAGCAAAGCGCGGAACATATGACATTTGCCACTGAGCCTCCTGCCATCGTGAGACGCCGTCGATACTTGGGCATGGCAAATTGGTAGGACAATGAGGTGTCCTTTTAGCTACATGTTAATCCGGGAAAATGGGGAACTGCCATAAATGACGCCGCTGAGCCACCGCAGTGCGTGCATAATTCGGTGGGCGCCGCGCCTGAGCCGTGGCATAAACCTGTCCTGTGACCCATGCGGGCGGCGGATTCCCGGGCACCAGACGCCCCGCGCCAGCTGCCTCTTAGATCACCGGGACATCTGTGGTTACCCGATGATCCGACATCCCGGGTCGCTCGCTGACGAAGCATGCCAACCGCCCATTGGCCAGCTGCGAATTACGCGCCCCTGCGAAAATGAATGGTTTAGTGTTCTGAAAAAAATTATAGCCTTACCGTCGATGGCATCTTGAAAGCTTGCCATGCGCGGCAATTATCCTACCCACGCGACTACTCGGCGGTAGGCGGCGTGACCGAAGTCACAGTCTGTTGTCCACCCGCATCGACCACATCCAAAGCCATGACCGAAGCCACAGTACGGAGCACAGACGCGGACGAACTGCTGTGGCGACGGCGCGGGAGGCGGCCTCACCGGTCGCAGAAGCCTCGGCCCATCCGGCTCGGTCGCGCGCAGCCATGGCGGACGGGGAGGTGCCGAGCGAAGCCCCAGCTGGTCCCCGTGAGCGCTACCCCGCGTGCCTCGACAGTCCGCCATCCGCGCCACCGCGGCGGGACGTGTTCGAGCCCCGGCCGGCCTCCTTTGGCGGTACCGCGGACGCCGCGCCGGCCGTCACCCGCGCCGGTCACGCGCCCTGGCGGCTGGCGGGTGGTTCGTATTAGCGGCCGGTGGTGTTTGCCATTCTGTCGGCCTGGCGGACGCTGACACAGAGCAGGCGGTCCGGCGGAGTAGGGCTGGCTCGCGCGAACTCGCGGATGTGCCCCGCCACATCCGCCGAAGCGTTGACCGGCCGGGCAGCGGGCCGATCTGCGTTTGTGCAGTCTGACATCAGCGGTGTGTCCGGCCCGGCTGGGTAACGGCATCGGCCGCGTCCGCGGCAGACGGACCGCTGACATCAGCAGTGTGTCCGGCCCGGCTGGGTAACGGCATCGGCCGCGTCCGCGGCAGACGGACTGCTCACCGCACACCGCGCTTTCAAATGCGAGACATCCACTCAAATGTCTTCAATCGCTGAAATGGTTTGCCTCAAGAGTGAATCATGCCGCACAGAGAGAGCAGAGAGGCTCGCACTGTGCCATCATCGCCGAGCCGCCGCCAGCTTCTGGGGCTTATCAAATGCATCGCCGCCGTTTGTTGTTCATGGCTCATCCGTAGAGCAGGTGCAGCTGGTCGGACGGCTTACGAGGACACCGTGCGCGAAAGACGGCGGATTACGCCATGCGATCGACACTTATTTGTTCCTGGCCACGCCCTGGGGCTTCCTGTGAACAGCTGGTCATGTGTCTGGGGCCGACACACGTGACCCCTGGCCAGTATAGAATGACATTAATCAGGACGAGTTATCATGTATACCATTTGCCAACAAGGATGTTACGAAGAACGCGGCAATAGGACACAGAGTGAAAAGCTTTTCCTGAAGTTAATGTGAGGTGTAGGGACGTGCGTACGAGAAGATCGCGATCGCGTACGCGATCGAAATTCAAACGGACGTTTGCTCCCTTTGAATTGACTTTATCAAAAGAAAGAACTAACCCCAGCCCTCTCCCCACTCCAGTTACTTATTGGGAGGTTAGGACGCTTCAGCAAGTAATCGGAATTGGGGACTGGTGTGAGTTCCCTAATTTTGATGACTTTTTAATTACCTCTATTAGCGCTGCTTTGACAGAAACGCACCAGCAGACGGTCCTTTTCACAGCTCGGTGTTGAAGGCTCAGCCGGACCGCCCGCAGGCCGTAGGCGTGGTGGGCTGATCGTGCACTCATACAGACCGCGGTGTCGTGGTTCAGCCCGTGCCGTGTTGGCACGCGTACGGTGATGAGGTCAGCTCGCGTGTCTCGGTACGGCCGAGTGTGAGAATGGTCGCACCGCGGCGCAGAGCGGCTTCCCGTCCACCCGAGTTTACCCCATGAACCGTGCACGAACGTTCGGTCCGAGTTGTTCGCTCAAAGATCTCGCCGATTATCAAGTTATGAGTCTTCAGAATTGAACGAATCCGTGGTAGTTTGCGGTGTGAATGCGCAAATGTTGATGTGTGCGTGACATGTCACGGGTGATGTTGCGCTGGCTGAGACGGGTGGCGGTGGCAGCTCGTCAGGCCCGCCCTGCCTTGGCTTCAGCACCGTCCGACCTGCCCGCCCCGGCTTCAGCACCGTCCGACCTGCCCGCCCCGGCCTCAGCACCGTCCGACCTGCCCGCCCCGGCTTCAGCCCCGTCCGACCCGCCCGCCCCGGCTTCAGCACCGTCCGACCTGCCCGCCCCGGCTTCAGTACCGTCCGACCTGCCCGCCCCGGCTTCAGCATCGTCCGACCCGCCCGCCCCGGCTTCAGCCCCGTCCGACCCGCCCGCCCTGGCTTCAGCCCTGCCCAGCCCGCCCCGTCTCGGCTTCAGCCACGCCTAGCCCGTCCCGTCTCAGCTTCATCCACGCCCAGCTCACCCCGCCTGACTTCAGCCCCGCCTAGCCTGCCCCGCCTCGGCTCCAGCTCGGGCCGACCCCGCGCCTACCCGCCGTGTCTGACCGCCGGCTGGGTGCGCGTGGGGCCTGGTGCGCCGGCGGCGCGGTGGAAGGGAGGGCCTCTTTGTGCGGCGGCCGGCGCCGCCACGGCCGCCGGCCGGACGGAAGTCTGTCGGCCGGCTATCTATGCGCCTTCCGCAGCGGCCGGCTGCGGCGCCGAGCGGCCGGCTCAGTCGGCCCGCCGCGTCCGTCCCGCCCGGTCAGTAGCGCGCCTACCCGCCCGCATCCCCGCTTATGTAACGACTCCCCGGCCAGGCCACCTCCCCGTACAGGCGGCGGCGATCGTGGTGCCACCTGCCGGTGACCGCGGCCGGGTCACCGGGCGGGTGGCAACCCCGGCGGCCAGTGTCGCGCGGTCCCGGCGGGCGGCGGTGTGCGTACCCAGGCGCGGGGCCTGGCGGTGTGAGTCGGAGCTGTGTGGCACGCCTCCCAGCGCGCACGGCTGGTGTGTTGGAGCGGGGTCGGGCTCTGTCCGCGATCCAGGCTCGCCTGGTGGACCTGGAGCCGAGTGAAGGAGCTGGTGGCGTCCGGTTAGCGGCGGACGGTCAGCAGGGTCCCTGCTTATGAGATGGTGTTGACTCCATTGGGTGGTTGTTATGTGTAGGCTGGTGATCGTGGTATTGGGGTGTTGCGGCTTAAGTCTCGTATGGGATCTTGTTTCGCACAGGTGGTTTCAGTGCGCATCCGCCAAGGGGAACAGTTGGCGGTGTGTAAATTCTGTCATTAAGGAGAGGAAAAGAGCAATCGTCGTTTTGAAATGGTAGCCAGTTTTCACAATGCGTTATGCATAGGGGTATGAATATGAAATTTAGGTGGGATGTTGGAGTTAATGATGGGTATTTGCAACAGCCAATAGTTATTTTCCAAGTATTGTTTTAGCTTACAGTGTTCCGCTTGAGTACTAGTGGTAGCAGTTTCAAGGTATGGCTACTCCACCTGTTCTGGTTAACGATACCTGTCCATCACATTTACATCTAAATGTGTGCGCGGGAGGAGTGTACAAAGTTGCGCTCAGAAGCGTTAACGTGTCCTTGCATGGCGTCTCAAAATGATTCCTTTGCGCTGGCGCGTCTGGGAGACCTCAGCCTCAGCAGCTGAGCGCGGCGTTAACCTTCAGTGGCATATATTTTTGCACAATACTGCGGCTCTTCATTTTTAATGGGGACTCATGCTGTCATCTTTTCAACGTTCGAGATAGACCGTCCGCATCCAGATTAATTGGCATGCTTCCAAAACTGGGAGAAAGCTGACATTGCTTTCGGAAGGCGTCCGTCGGCAATGCTCCTGCAATCTTCAGTATCAGCTCTTGACTGTGCGGATATCCCCGTCTTTGCGTGCTGGCCTACCCTGTATGTGTGATGTGACCGAGGTGTGGTGTGGTCTGGTCGGACCGACCGCCCGTGCGACTGGCGGCTGTGTGATGTGACCGAGGTGTGGTGTGATGTGGTCTGGTCGGACCGACCGTCCGTGCGATTGACGGCAGTGCGCGATGCGTCCTGGTCTGGTGGAATGTCCGTATATCCTGCCCATGCTTGCGTCATGCCGTCGGCCGACGGCCGCACTGCGCGCTTGCAGGCCCCGGTGTGACGGATTGTTTGCCCGGACGCGGAGCATGCTTCTGCCCGAGGAGCGTCGTGGAATAGGCGAGCCCGCAATGTGCCGTACTGTAGCCGCGCTCGTGCGCCGTCGCTCTGGCTCGGCATGCGGGGAGCCGGGGTGGGGCGGGGGACCGGAGACAGGCCTCGAGCCCGTCCTCTCCCCGCCCCCGGCTGCCGACACGGACCGTGTGCCCCCGAGCCGGGCCGGGCCGAGCCGTGGCGCCTACCGTATCCCGCCGCCGCCGGCCAGACCCAGCCGCGCAGTCCACACGTTTCATAGCCGCTATAAATACGATCGGCTTTCGACGCCGCCGCCGCCGGCCGCCGCCCAATCGGATGCCAATGTAAGCGGGCCCGACGGCGGCGTGGAGCCGGCCACAGTGTCCTGCCGGCCGCCGCCGCAGCAGCATTTAACGCGCGCACACGCCCCCGTCGCAGGCGCTCGGCAGGATGGAGTAGCGAGCCGCCCAGCGCACGGACACATCAGTCGCAGGAGGCCGGCCGCTCGAGGTTCTGTGGTGTCTGTCGGCGGTGTGTGAGTGGACGGACGCGCGGCCCGCTGACTGCGGACATGGCCCGGTGGACGCGGCTGGCCGTGCTGGCCGTAGCGCTGCTGCTGCTCGCGCAAGGTGGGTCCCCGGGCGGCGCCCGATCGCCAGATCTGCCCGGCTGTCTGTCTCGATTGAGCGTGCACCGCATCTGTCGATCAGCTGTCTGCGTCTGTCTGTCTGTCTGTCTGTCTGTCTGTCTGTCTGTCTGTCTGTCTGTCTGTCTGTCCGCCCGCCCGCCCGCCCGCCCGCCCGCCCGTCCAGGCCATCAACCTGCCTGCTCCGATCGTCACTCTGCCTGTCGTCGCTACCGAATGCCTTTTGGCCCTTCCGCCCTTCGTTCCACATTGGCCTGGCGCTTCACTTCACCCTAAGTGTGTCGGCGTGCATCTGCCGGCCTGCGGCGAGCCCGGCCGGCGCGCGCCGGGCCGTCCCCTCGTCGGGCCCGCCGTCAGCGGGGTGGCAGCGTCGCGGCGCATCTGTCCGGCCTGCGGCGAGCCCGGCCGGCGCGCGCCGGGCCGTCCCCTCGTCGGGCCCGCCGTCAGCGGGGTGGCAGCGCCGCGGCGCATCTGTCCGGCTCCGGTGTCGAGCCACACACGGCGCCCGCCGTCGTCGCCGTCGCTGCGGGGCTGTCCCAGTCGTCGGGAGTGTGGATGGGAGGGGAGGGGGGAGACGTCCCTGCCGCTGGACTCGGGCCGGTGTCGCGGCCGGCCAACGATCGCGAAAGCGAACACGAAGCGGATGGGCCGGCCGCTGCAGCACGGAGGGAGTTGTGAGACCTTCCATTTCCGTCTGATGTTGACCGGTTGCACGTCGCCATGTGCCAAGCCAACTTTAAAGTGTAATCGTTGGAATGCTGAAGCGCGTCGTTTGAATTGCGAGTGAATCGTGACGATTGGCTCGGCTATTTCGTGTCTGTTGCGTGCGCACGAATAGTATAGTCGTGCGCGGAGGGAACTGGGGACAATCAGTAGCTGCGCGCGTCCTACCCACCGGTTGCAGCGTGCGCGCACGCGCCCTGATCTCGCCGAACCTGCACCGCGCTCCCCGTTCAGCCGCGTTCCCGTTCGTCGGATGCGGGTATGGTCCGCTGAAGCGACGCCGTGTCCGGACGTCGTCCGCAAAGCTGACCGCGGCAGCAGGTGTTTGGGCGTGGGAGGGCTGCGACGGCGCGGGTGGTCTCCCGCGCGCCGCTGCTCGCCGCGTGCCCGCCCCCGGCGTCCGCCATCGCCGGACGCCGGGGGCGGCGCCGGCCGCGGAAGTGACCGTCTGCACTGTTGCACGGCCGTCCATCCCGGCGCCGGGCGCCGGGCCCGGCCGGGTGCACGTGTGGAGATAAGCGGCGCCGGCTGGTGACCGAGCGCCGGTGCCGCCGCCGTCGCCACTGCCGCCGCACTCGATCTGGGTCAGGCCGGAATGCCGGCCGGCCAGGCCGGCGGCCGTGGGATGACGCCGGCCTATCTTATCTCACCGGCGGCCACCTGTGCGCGATCACGGCGTCGGCGGACGCCCTGTTTGCCGGCCGCGCGGTGATTTAATGCGCGCTGGCCAGGGCGCCGACCGGCGGCCGGCCATGTCCGGGTCACTTCCGACCAGCTGCGGCCGGCGCCGCGCGCCGCCGACCGCGCTCGACGTGTCGGCTCTCATCAAGGCCGACCGCGGCCGCCGGCTGCCGGCTGCCGAGCGTCGGGCGCGCGCCACGGGCCACCGTCTCGAGTGGCACCTGCGCGCCGCGCCATCGCGTCGCCGCCCTGACTCACGCCCGGTGATTTATCCCTGGAGGCGTGCCGGCCTTTGTGCGCCGCTGCCGTCGGCTGCAGCCGGCCGGCCGCCCGACCGACCGACCGACCGCATTCCCAGCGGGCTCCCCGCCGGCCGGCTCTCTCCGGCCGCCGCTGTCTCCCGGCGCGCGTGCGTGTGCGTAACCGGCGCCCGGGTCGGCTGCGGCGCCGCGGCTCGGGTCGCGCCGGCGCGTGGCGGCTCCGACAGCTGCAGGGTGACGTGCAGCCGAGGGTGTCGAGTGACGCGGCCGCCCGTTGCCCGTCGGCGCGCGACACGGCCGACCAGGCCTGGTCCTGCCCGTAGCCGGACAGCCCTCTCGTCCTGCCCCACACCGCGGAGCACGGCCGGCCGCTTCAGCCCCGGCCGGTGGGTGAAAGGCGGCGGCGGCGGCCCATTGCATGTGGCGCTCTAATGGGCCTGATGGATATTGTCTGTGAAATCGGCCCCGCCGCCTGATGATGGCGTGAGAAAACGACGGGTAATCGGGCGGGCCGAGATGACTGGCACCGCGTGGGCCGTGCGACAGGTGGGTTGAGTGACTCCGCTGTGTCGGCGGACCACCACCGAGCCCGTTACCCTGCGCCCAGCTGGTGCGGCAGGGCGTCCATTCTTGTCACTCCAGCTTGGCTACCGTGTCGCGGTGGCGTGAGCTGTGAATTCGCTGGGCAGAGCGGTCATTTGTGCGAGGTCCGAAGGTCGACTTCTTCGCCTCGCCGTGTAGCTACCCTCCTCCACTGCTTCGCTGGCTGTTTAGTTCGCACGGCGGTTTGCGCGGGGGTTTCGGTAGCGATTACTACGTCTGGCCTCGTTGCATCTACCTTCTGCTGGCCCTGTTCTCACAGGCGCGAGACGTGATGCCGGCAACGACATTAGCAGTCACAAGCGTCGATCAAGAGTCTGCAGTGGGTCCGTGCCACCTGCTGTGTATCAACACCGTGATGTAATGCGCCATGACTCTGCGATTACTCAGCCACATGACTTGAGTCCATTCACCCTCACAACAGCGGCTATCGGGTCCCGTAGGCCGCGCAGCCCTCGCGCCGGGCCGGCGGCGCCGCGTCGCTCCAGCCCGGGCTCCAGCGCCGCCACTCCACCGGCAGACGGCCAGCACTAATTATAGCCGGCAATCGGGCGACGTCGGTGACTGGGGCTCGCCCTGACCCGGCCCGGGCGGAGCGCGGCGCGGCGCGTCCGTCGGGACCGGGTGGGGCCCGAGGTCGCGTGGACCGCCGCTGCTTGAGTAGACCCGCGGCGAGGCGCGCGGCCCTGGCCCGACGGCGTCAGGCCGGGGGAGTTAGGCTGGGCAGTGATCTCGTTCGGCTGCGAATCAGCAGCAGCAGCGGCATGTTATCGCGCTTTGATGCCTTCGATCTGCTTCGACGGTGGCTTCCGACGTCGCAGTTAAAAGACAATGTCTGTTGGCTTGGGCCCAGCCGGGAGCGCCTGCAGCATTGCCGCTGTAAGAGCCGCGGCGCCTCAGCCCAAAGCTGTGTTCCTGAGCTGGCAGCAGTGGCGTCGCTCCTCTGCGGTCCGCAGAGTCGACCGAGCTCGGCATGAGTGACCTTATCCTACCCAATATATTTCACGACCGATCCGGCTTCTCCCGGGCCTGCTGGGCAGTGTGTGCCGTTGTGCGTATGTGGTTGTTGTACGCGTGTGGGGTTGCGCGTGTGTTTGCGCCGCATTCGGCCCGTCTCAGCCCGCGCGCCGCCACAGAGATGCAGTGTCAAGAGGATGATAGTGTCGCGTCAACCACGACCAAAACGCATCGGCGACGGTTCCGGAAGGTGCGGCGTCAGCAGGTTCGACAGAGCTCCGTCGACGGCGACGAAGGTGACCTGGCGTGACTCTACTGACCGGGTGGTGGCGTGTCGCATGCTGCCGTGACGTCTGCCTATTGACAGGCCGCGCCCCGAACGGACAGCAGGTCCTTCCTGTGGCGCCTGCCTGCGGCCGGGTCGCTCGCGCTTGCCGTTCAGTTTTTGCATGAGCGTGTGCTGTTTGGTGTTTGTTCTTGCCCTTGCGCGTTCGGTGGTTTGGTACACATTTGTTGGTGAGGTGGTCCGGTCACTTCTGCGCCTCGCGTCACTGTAAAATTGGGCTGCGTAGTGCATGCTCATTTCCCACTGGCGAACATCTGTCTTTGAAAGCAAAGTAACGGGGATTGCCCGCGCTGCGAGTGACCCCGCATAAGTGGAATGGGTGGAATTTTTCACGCTGGTGGAGGACATAAAGGTGGCCAGAGTAGCTAGGGTGGTGGGCATAAAGATGACAAGAATTGCTGGGCAAAGGGTAAACTTACAACGCTACGTTTCTTTTGCTGTCTGGAGTGGGTTTGTGAAGGCCAGTTCCCCGGAGTGGGACGGTACAGGGCATGTTTCTCACCGGGAAATGTGTTGCCCTATTTTGTTCGTGTCGTATCGTGGGCGTCCATCAGTTCGTTAGCATTGCTCATACGTGTCTTGCTTCATGTTAATCACCAGCGTCGTTCACTGCAAGCACGTGGTGCCGTTTTTCTCGTTCTATCTAATAGCTTGCCTGGTGCCACGTTTGAGCCGTCTGCTCGGCTTGGGCGACAATACTCGGTTTCGTTGCGTCTGGCCTCAGCTCGTGGCCGATGTGCGAGGCCCGCTCCCCGTGAGGCCGGTGGCCCACCGGACCTGCGATTCGTTGCCTCCTCTGCATGAAACGCCTCCGCTCTGTGGCCTCTGCTGGTCTGGCGGTCTCACCTGTCCGCATGGTGTGCCGTGCGTTTGAGCACTAAACCATTTGCGGGCGTGATCGGCTCAGCCGCACCTGCTCTGCGTCATCTCCGCTCAGGTGCTTGCCATGGGGGCTCTTTCCTCCAGTCGCGTCGCTGTCAGTTATACCAGCTCGCTTCACCGCTCCGTGTCGCGGCTTCGGAGTGTTCCGTCTTACGGGATCGAGTCTCTGCTGGCCTCCAGTGGTGTTGGGATGTGCACCTCTCTGCTTGGTCTCTGGTGTCGGGCTATTGTCCATCACGGGGCGCTTTCCCCTAGGCAACGAAGTGCACTACCAGCGGAGTCGCGTGGCGGTCACGAAATCCGGAGGTGGCGCCGGCAGCGGTGGCGGTAGCGGCAGCGGCGCCCGGCCGTTCGTCCCTGGCCGGGGCTCGCGCCGAGTCTACTCGCGCACCTCCAGCGTCACCCGCAACTCCAGCGTGGCGCGTGGCGCCGGCACGCCCGTGCTCGAGGGCTCCTACTTCCAGCCGAGCGGCGACGGAGACGGGCAGCGTCCGTTCTTCAGCTGGAACGGCCGGCGGCGCGTGCAGGCGGCACGCGACCGCGCCGGGAGCGTGCGGACGACGCCCGGCGCTTCGTCCATCGCCGCCTCACCGGTACGGTCCCGCCAGTACTCGTCCTCCTACTACTATAGCCGATCTGCCAGTGGACAAGCCGGACAGGCGGGACAGGCTGGACAAGCTGTACAGGCGGGACAAACGGGACTGGCTGGACAAGTGGGACAGCAAGGCTACGGCGGGGAGTCGGGCCTTGCCGGTCGGACGGGCTCTCGGGGTAACGTGCGCCGCACCAGCTTCTCGCGCCGGGTGACGTACGGCGCCGGCTCCCCCTGCGCGGAGGGCACCGATTGTGCCGCCGCTGCCGCGGCGCAGCAGGCGGCGCGCGCCAGCTACAGTCAGCAGCAGTTCGCGGGGCAGTCGAGCCGGCGCGCCGGACAGACGCGGGAGCCGCACGGACAGACGCAGCAGAGCAGCCAGACGCGGCGGACGTACGGCCAGACGCAGCGGACTGGCCAGACCCGGCAGTCGTCTGGACAGACCCAGCAGGCCGGCCAGACGCGGCGGACGTACGGACAGACTCAGCAGAGCAGCCAGACGCGGCGGACGTACGGCCAGACGCAGCAGGCCAGCCAGGGGTACGGCCGCTCCGGAGGCTACTCGCAGGGCCAGCGCTACGACCAGACGACGACGTACGATCGGACTTACGGCGGCCGCACTTACGACCGCTCGGGCGGGCGGACCGACACGGAGCGCGGCGCCACCGTCGTCACCCGCTATCCGGGCCGCACTGTCTACCGCAACTCCACCGGTACCTATGTCAACTACACGCGCACGCTGCCCGGCGGCGGCACCGTCTCCTCCTACAACTACACTGTGCGCTACCCGTCCCCGAGCGGCGGCGTCATCACGGCGCACAACCGCACCACCATCCGCAACCGCACGGTTGTGACGACCACGTCGCAACGGGTGGTACCCGGCGGCGGCACGCTGTACCGCAACGTGACCACGTTCACGCGCGTCCCCGTTGGGCGCGGCTCGGTGGCGGGCTCGCTTCCCGGTGGCTCTTCCACCGTCTATCGCAATGTGACCACCGTGTATCGCAACGAATCGCGGGTGGTGGCCACCGGCCGCGAGCCGCAGACCACTGAGTCGGAGCACGTGGGTGTGGAGACAGTGGGCGGCTGGGGCGGCGGCTCGCAGACGACCACCACCACCCGGGTGGAGGAGGAGGAGGAGGAGGAGGTGATCTCACAAGAGCAGCTGCGGAACGCCTACATCGAGAAGAACCGGTTGCAGAAGTTTGGAGGTAGGCCGCGGTGGTGGTGCACGCGGCCCAGCTAACCCGCCCTCTGGCTCCGCCCACTAACCCCCACTCACCACGCCCGCCGAGCACGGAGAGCCGGCGTCGCAGGCACAGGCGTCGGAGGCCAGCTGCCGGCAGAGCGGAGTTACACACCCCTACGCAGGCATGAAATGCCACGTTCGCGGAGCTGGCGGTCACTTTGACTTGCATCGCGTTTGAGAAACTTTCTGTAAATATTCTTTGATATTTAACTTTTAGGTGCAGGAGGTTGACGAGTCCTAAAAGGTAGATAAAATGCAGAAACACGCAATGGCCCAAAAGCTGAATCAACCAAGCGTTCAAAATTCATAAATCCCCGTAATATAACGTTCAAGGACCTCACCATTTCCACAACCAACTCAACTATTCCATCAGCCAACTGTTCAACGATCAAGGCTGTGGTTCAGTCAACACTAGTATGTCGCATTACAAGGCTGCTGCGACTTAGGACTGTCCGGAGGTCTGGCTGACTCGGCGTCTGCGTAGCCACGGCGGTCATTTCCCCTGTGTGGCCCCGGTGGGGTGCCGCCCGTCTTCCGTGTGGTACTGGTCTCCCGTCGCCTCGCACGCTCGGTGGTGTGGTGTGGCTCACCGTCGCCGGACGCGAACGGCACTCGTCCCTCGTCCCTGGTCCGTCTGCTCGTCTTCGGCGCTCGCCGGCCGTCTCGCTGACGCCCGCGCTTTCCTCACCGGTCCGCCTTCTCGCCCTGTCTTGGCGTGCGTGTGAGCGAGTGAGCAGAGAGAGAGGGAGAGGGCATGCGAGGAGCCCCGAGAAGCGCCGGCCGGACCCCGGATCAGCTCGGCACGGCCGGCGACCGCCCGGACCTCTCCGCCGCCTGCTCGTGCGGCGGACTCGGCGGGCCGGCCGTCCGGCCCGGGCTACGCCCTGCCGGCGGCAGCTGCAGCTCGGCGGCGGGTTGCACTGGATGACGTCACCATCAGGTAAGCGGAGTGAGCCTCGCGACGCCTCTGCACCCGGCCTCGGTCGCGGTCGCAATGAACTCCACGATCTTGCGTTGAGTGGGCTCGAGGAGAGGGCGGCGGCAGTCTACGGCATCAAGCCCCGCGCTTCGTTTTTTATTTATTTATGGAGTCTGGCACCATTTGGTTGGTCTGAGTGAGTGCGTTTGGACAGGAGATAAAACTTGATGCGGCGACCTCAGAACACCGAATGCTTGCCAAAGCAGATTTAGTACAGGCGGATGGTTCGTTTCGCCACTTTGTTTCGGCGTCGGAGTTCTGACCGGTTTAGTCCCGTACTCCCGTAGCGAAGCGCTGGCATGCGCTTCACAGATTCGCCTAGCGCCCGGCCCAGACGACTTATTTAGACATGGTGTGTCGTGTTGGTGTGGTCGGACCGCGTAAGAGGCGGCGCCGGAGGGATGGCCGCCGCTCCTCAATCCTGAAGCCATGGCAGCCAAATCGCGTCTGCGGTCCCCGGGGAGCGCACGCCGAGTCTAATCCAGGCGGGCCAGTCCCCGAGGTGAGGCGGCGGCGGCCAGCCGTCGAGATGTGTCCGCCAGTCGGCACCAGAGCCGGGGGTTTATCTTGGCCGGGTGTAAACAGTATGATGCGGACCAGACCCGGGCCGCGCGGTGTCCGCTGCCGCCGGAGCGACGGGCGCCGGCGATACATGGGTTTGATCGAGCTGGCCATGGCTTTTGGGGGAGTTTCCCAGGACCACCAGCGTGCCCCACTGCTTAGCAGTGGTACAACGGAAGGGCATGTTGGAGAGCCGCCTAGAAGTGTTGGAACGAGTCAGTATTTAGCGAGATTGTTTGGTTACGATATCGCCCTGTTTCCGGCAGAGTGGGTCACGGCTGGGCGTTGGGTGCCGGTCGAAAGAGGCGAATGGCGTCACAGTCAGCGCTGTTATTGACCGACAGGGAAGATGGCGGCACGCCGACTGTAGCGACCCTGGGGAAAAGAGTGAACGGCGCACACGCGCTGCCTTGACCGTAGCAAACAACACAAACTCGGCATCACCGGCGCGCAAGGCCTCTGTTTCAGGGTGGTGCGGCGAGCCGTCTGCGGCTGTCTCACTGGTCGGCGTGTTCCCAGGTCGGCGCCGTTGTCGCGGTCGCCGCGTGATTGCAGGGCTGCGCCGCCGCGTCGGCAGCCCCGCCCCGTACCTGTTGCGCGGGCGTCGGCGCCGCGCCGTCCGCTGCCCCATTGACCGCCCTGCCGGCACAGAGACGGCGTCTCAGCAGACCTGTGAGAGAGGTTCCTGCCTGCCGGCATCCGGGAACCTGCTCATCGGCCGCGAGGCCCGTCTGGAGGCGAGCTCGACGTGCGGCACCCGCCGGCGGGTACGTCAGAGGGCGGCGTGCGGCGCGCCGGCCGGCACCCGTCCGGCAGCCATCTGCGGGGTTAGCACGGTCTCCGGCCCTGGAAATGAGCTCGCTTCTGGAGGTTGTGGTAGCGACAGCATGCCGTGACATTGCGTTGCCTCGGGTAGCGCCGTATCATGCATGTTCACCACGAATGATGCAACGGAATCCAGATGACACCCTGGCAGTAGCACATACGTTTTAGTCCTTTCGTGAGGTGTGCTTTGAATGAATTCTCGATCCCAGACTTTGATTTCAGATTTGAAATGTAGACCGTAATTTTTCAGATTTGTATGTTACGGCTCTGCGATCAAGGCCCGTGACCGAAAATTCATTCAAAAACATCTTGCTAGACGACTAAAACCTACGTATGTGTGAGGTCATTTTGATTAAATGAGAAACTTAGCATGTCACATCGCATAAGCAATAAACTGTCTGAATTTTACACCACGAATTGTTGGTGTGTGCGTTTATTAATGCTATTTGAACACGTAGCTATTTCCCAAGCATTTTAAGCTCTCTGTGGTTCCTCCAACCGCCCGCCTCGAAAGTATTGTCGCGGTACGTGCCTATCTGACTGCCGTTATCGGTCGCTCCCTGCCTACCCGTTCCTCCCCCTTCCTTCAGGTCGGCAGCTGCCTCCCCCGGCGTGGCACGACCACGCTCGGCCGGCACCCCTAGCCGGCGTCCGGCCCGACCCCCTCACCGTCCGCCGTCTCAGGTCCGTCCCGGCCAGCCCTGGCGCCGGCCACGGACCACCGCTCCGTGGCCGGGGTCGCCGGGGTCGCCTGACCGGACGACGCTTCCGGCCGGCCGGGCAGCTGCGCGCTCTGCCGTCGGTGTCGGACTGGAGCAGGCGGCTGTGGACGGCCCTCTGTCTGCGCTGTTTCGGCACCGTCCCCGGCTTCCCCCGCGGCCTATGACGCGGTGTACTAGTCGCCTCAGGTCGGCTGGGTCGTCCGAGTGGCCCCCTCCCCGCCCGGTCGCTGTCAGACTGGACAGGAAGCGACCTCTTCCGGACTCGGACGCCGCTCCGGTCCGCTCGGCCGTCCGTTGCCAGGGTGGCGCGCCGCCAGCCATTCATTGGCGTCGTCGGGATATGGCTGCGATAGCCGCCTCCGCCCGCCCGTCTTCCTTCCCGCCCGTCCGCGCCGGGGTCCTGTGCGCACCGCGTGTCCAGCCGCCAGGGCTCCATCCCAGGGGCCGCCCGGGCTCCAGCCTCGGCCGCACGCACCTGGTGGCCGGGTGTCCGCCGCGACGGCCGCGGTAACGGCCAGGGCCAGATCGGATCAGGCTGGTCGAGATGACCACCGGCAGGGCCTATCCGTCTCTGTATTGCTGGTCGCGAGAGCTGTAAAATACGAATGCTCTTCTTGCTGGGTATGCTAGCTAGCTGCCTGTCTTAGTTGATATGTGGGCCTGCGCCACCGTAGTGCGTTAACGATGACGTGAATTGTTATTTTTTCGTGCGGAGTCTGGGCATCGACCATTACCTTGCCCGGTAGTGGCGGCGATTGATGTGTCGCTTATGGGAGGGGGCTAATCGATGGTCTCTGGTGGGCGCTTGAGGCGCCCCGCCGGCTGTTGCAGGGCCGTTGCTGACGAGAGCCCGGCCTGTTGCAGGAGCGCTACTGTATCGTGTCCTATCTGGAGGAGCGGACCAAGTGCTTCTGGTGTGACTCTCGGCCACAGACCGAGAACAAGCTGCTGCTGAACCACCAGGTCAAGTATGCCGTGCGTAACACGCAGATCGGCAGAAGGGGGTGAGTGCCAGCGGTGAACGACCAGCTAGGCTGAAGGCAGCGTTCGGCAGCAGCCGCTGTTGGCGGCTCGTGTGTTCGCGGCGGCGGTCGGCTGGCGGAGCGGCTTGTGGGAAGTTGGGGCCGATGCAAAGCGTCTAGCTGTGAAGTGACACATGGAATGTGGCGTGCTTTGACAGCCGTGATTGTGTGTCATGTGGACAACGTTGCCGATTTCAACGGGCAGCGGTGCCCCGGTCTGCCGGCCGTGACGATAGCGCGGCGGCCGCCGACCGGTGCCGGCCGCGCGCTCCGCCGACTGACGGCGCCCGGCTGCGCGCGCAGGCACCGTCGGCTCACCTGGTGGCAGTCCGAGAACGGCGTGGAGAACGTGCAGCTCCAGCTGGACCTGGAGGCCGAGTTCCATTTCACCCACCTCATCATGAAGTTCAAGACGTTCCGGCCGAAGGTCATGCTCATCGAGCGGTCCTACGACTTCGGGAAGACTTGGCATGTGAGTGGGCACGGCGGGCTGGCCGTCTGACGCGGCGGGGTACCGGGACGCGCGCGGACCAGGTCCGACCGGCGCCGGCTGCACATAACCTGTACAAACAGGCTTCACAAAAGCAGTTGCATGCACTGTTTGGGTGACAACGTAAATAGTGTGTGGGATGGCTGGTGATATAAAGATACCTTCTTACTTCCGTGTGACGTTTTTCCCGGCGGCTGTCGTGCTTTTATGTCGTTTGTCTGTGCCTGCACACTACAGCGTGTGGGAGAGCGGCATGTGTATGGTGACCGTGGAGACGGCACCCACCAGACCCGGTCCGTCAGCTGAGGGCACGCGCTCTGCCAATCAGGTGTACCGCTACTTCGCCGACAACTGCGCCGAGCACTTCCCGGGCGTGCGAGTCGGTGGTCCTCGCACTCTGTCCGAGGTGGTGTGCCAGGAGCGCTACTCACGCGTGCAGCCGTCCGTGCGTGGCGAGGTGAGCTCTGCGCATAGTCAGCCCGACCGGCGCCGGGCTGTCGGCCGGCCCGGATCCGGCACGACCTGCAGCCATTGATGGAAAACGACAGGTGTGAATGGGCGAATGCGACGATTGGGTGCTGGGCCCTGGAGAAACGACAGAGAGTTCCGTAGCGTAGTGCGGGGGGTATGTCACATGTAACCCTGCCCCTGTAACGAGAGCCGCGTGCCGAGACGTCGGTTGGGGCGGGGTTGTGTGATGGATGCCAGGCTGTCGGCGGCGGACGGGCCCGTGGCTCATCACAGCTCTGTGACGGGCGGAGACGGCGGGGAAGGGGCTTTGATGCGGCCCGTGGGGCGCTGACCGCGGTGTGAGTCAGCCCTGCTGCCTCAGCTAGCCGGGCCGTCCGCCCCTGGGCGTCACAGTCCGTCCTCCGACGGCGACTGCAGCGGCACTGTGGCCGCCGACTGTAGCCGACTGTTGGCCCCCAGCTGAGCGTGTGACGGGGCGTCCACCGTCTGACGGCCGACTGTAGCCGACTGATGGCCCCCAGCTGAGCGTGTGACGGGGCGTCCACCGTCTGACGGCCGACTGTAGCCGACTGTTGGCCCCCAGCTGAGCGTGTGACGGGGCGTCCACCGTCTGGCGGCCGACTGTAGCCGACTGTTGGCCCCCAGCCGAGCTTGTGGCGGGGCGTCCACCGTCTGACGGCCCACCGTAGAGCGGACTGTCGGTGCCGGTCTGTGATGATTATAATGACCAATAACTGTCTAGTAAGCTCTAAATGCAGTTGTGACTTGATGACATCAGACTACAGCTCTGGCATGCTCTAGTCTGGCCGGGCCCGTGGTGGACTGCTAGCCCCCTACGATATTTGACCGTTGTGTTCGTGTGCTTTGCCGGTGGCTGTGGTGCCCGACTGAACAGGCCGTGGAATCCGACTGCAGTCAACCGGGGCGTCCACCTGTGACCTGTGACGCGTATGGCTTCCCCCGACCTCAGGTGATCTTCCGCGCGCTGCCGCCGCGCATGACGCCCAAGAACCCGTACAGTGAGGAGGTGCAGCAACTGCTCAAGATCACGAACCTGCGCGTCAACTTTACGGGCCTACACACGCTCGGCGACGACCTGCTGGACCAGCGTCGGCAGATCAAGGTGAGCTCGGCGGCCCAGCCCTGGCCCGCTGAGTGATGCAGGCAGGCGGCCAACCTATCTCCAGCACGCGTTCAAATGCAGTGCAGAATATCTCAGCGTTGACGTTATTGCATAGCTCGGCGCCGACATCACACGCGAAGAGTGCGCGCCCGACGCCCCTCTGAACCTGTGTTTCCGTCTTCAAATAACTTCACGTCAGCTTCACTGCGAGGTCAGCGTTTGAACGACAAATCAGATGGCATGTCGCGGAGCCTAGCCGTCCTCACTATTGTATTCATCTGACGTCATGTATTGTCAGCTGCCCTCCTCCGTGGGCGTGCGGTGTTGTCCGGCCGCTCCGCCTCGTCCACGCGCTGCGCTGATCCGCCCCGCCCGCTCCGCAGGAGAAGTACTACTACGCCGTGTACGAGATGGTGGTGGCCGGCCGGTGCTCGTGCTACGGCCACGCGCCGCGCTGCCTGCCGCTGCCCGGCGTCGAGCCGGTGCCCGACATGGTGCACGGCCGCTGCGAGTGCATCCACAACACGCAGGGCCTCAACTGTGAGCGCTGCATCGACTTCCACCACGACCTGCCCTGGAAGCCGGCCGTCAGCAGGGAGACCAACGCCTGCAAGCGTGAGTGGGCAGGCCCAAACGGCTGGCCGTGCACGCGGTGTCAGGATCACAACGGGACTGGCAAATGGGTAATTGCCCTTAGGAAATGCGTGACCTCAGTGCTGATCAATAAGGGCATACCGCAACCACACCACATTTATACTATTCTGAAATGAGAACTAGATGTTTGAGTTCCTGACGGGGTGGTTGAGTGTCTGCTGTGGGACCCGTATTTTTCAGCAATGTCCTCAAATGATACGGTAGCATGTTGACAGCAAGATTGGCGTCGGTATATCACTCAATTCGAACCTAGAGGATATCATATGACACATCTGTACTCTCCTGGACTGACGGGCCGGGACTGTTGAAGCCCGCGCCGACTGCCCCGTGCGCAGCCGGCCATTAGCTGGTGCCCGGCCTGTTGCGCCGCGCCCACACTGCGGTGACCTGGCTGGCTGCGCCGCAGGCTGCAACTGCCACGACCACAGCGACCGCTGTCACTTCGACCCGATCCGCTTCAACCAGACGGGCTTCGTGAGCGGCGGCGTGTGCGACGACTGCCGCCACAACACCGAGGGCTACAACTGCGAGATGTGCAAGCGCGGCTTCTACCAGGAGCCGGGCCGGGAGCTGCGCGACCCCAGCATCTGCCGAGGTGCGCCGCCCGTCCGCCCGCCCGGCCTGAATGGCTTCGTCCTGGACACGCCTTCGAGCGCGGCTGGTGCTGGCCCATGTACCAGGGCCGGCTGGAAAGCTCTACCTCCACCTAAATGAAATCAACAATATTTGACGCATATTGATAAAACTAGCATCACAAGGTAGCTGCATCGTTTATCGATAGGTACCCATAGCTGTTTTTCAAACGCGTCCCCCCCCCCCCCCCTCCAAAGCGCGATGCGCTTCTGGCAGCGTGTCGCTAGTTGGCGGTGTCCTTCAGCGAAAAGTCTGGGTGCGATTACCGTATTCATTGACGTATTGCTCACGCGTTGCCTCTTCAGCAGATGAGAAGTGTTTATCCTTCAGGTGTACTTTCATCATTTGGAGCAGGCGATAGTGGCTGGGAATGAGAGCGGGGCTGTAAGGAGGATGCGGTGGTACGCATAGCCCTGACTGCCGCGCGGCGGCAGTTGTAACTGGTGGTGCGCGACCGGGTGTCGTGCTCCAGGATTGTATCGCGCCTCCCCCCTCCCCCCCCCCACCCCTTTCTTCCCCCACCCCTTCCTTCCCTTCCTTCCTTTGGATACGATTGTTTTCAGTTTTCCTAGACCCTGCGTATCGTTCGGATTCCGCTGTTTTCCGTTTCCAAGGGGTCGGTGAGGGCAGTTCCCGGGCAATACCAAAACGCATTCAGCATGATTTTCCCTGCTGGAACCCGGGTATAAACTTTTTCAACCGCGACGAGTGTTAATGGTGGCGTTCGGATTCCGCTGTTTTCCGTTTCCGAGGGGTCGGTGAGGGCAGTTCCCGGGCAATACCAAAACGCGTTCAGCATGATTTTCCCTGCTGGAACCCGGGTATAAACTTTTTCAACCGCGACGAGTGTTAATGGTGACATACCAAGGATCGTATTGTATAATCGTGGCCGTCGTCGTCGTCGTCGTCGTGGCTGCGCCCCGCGCCGTGGGCTGACGGGCCCCTGCCGCCGCCGCAGCGTGCGAGTGTGACCCGCGCGGCTCGCTCTATGACGGCCTGTGCGAGTCGACGGCCACCGAGGAGCTGCCCGCCGGCCACTGTCATTGCAAGGAGAAGGTGGGCGGGCCGCGCTGCGACCGCTGCCTGCCCGGCTACTGGAACTTCACCGAGGAGAACCCGGCCGGCTGCCAGGGTGGGTGCCGGCTGCTCGGGGCCGGGCCCGTCCCGGCGCCCTAGCTGGCGTCTGGCTGGCCACCAGCGAGCTCCACTGGGGGAGGGAGTCTGTCCGGGGTACGACTGGCCACCAGCGAGCTCCACTGGGAGAGGGTGTCTGTCCGGGGTACGGCTGGCCACCAGCGAGCTCCACTGGGGGAGGGGTCTGTCCGGGTTATGGTTGGTCCGAGCCGTGTCCGGTATCGTCTGGATTGATGGCAAAGCTATTTCACTATGGTGTCACCAGCCCATTGAAATGAAATCGTAGCACTGTAACGTGAAAACCTGTACGTGATGTGTTGTCTGCTCTAAGCGGAATGCGCTTCAGAGGAGTGTGACATGTTTGACGATGCGGACCACGGGAGAGATGCCACCGTATAGCTGACTGCCAATGTGGGATATGTGGCTTGTGGTGGTGGCGTAGCGTTGCGTCCTAGCCCCTCTCCGTGGCCGGCTCCCCCGCGCTGCCCGGTCGGCTGGCCGAGCTGCCTGACGGGTGGCGCGGCCTGTCGCCAGAGTGCACGTGCGACCCGCTGGGCACGCTGCCGGACATCGGCTGCGACCAGCAGACGGGCCACTGCCGCTGTAAGCGCAACGTGGTGGGCCGCAACTGCGACCAGTGTCCGGAGAACTTTTGGGGGCTGAGCGAGCATCGGGACGGCTGTAAGCCGTGCGACTGCGACCCGGGCGGCGCCTACGACAACGTTTGCGACGTGCTCACCGGACAGTGCAAGTGCGTGGCCGGCGGGCGTGGGGGGGGGGGACGGCAGCGGCGGCCGCCGGAGCGCCTCCTGGAGGCATACCAGGCGCTCATCTGTCATGGGGCTATGGCCCCGCTGGTGGGGGAGGTCTTAGATGGGATATGATTACTTGCAATTAGTAACTTCGCGTTGTATCTACTCGCGGCCTACAAATGTGTGGTGTTCTTGCTTGCGGTTTGTGTTTGGATTCAGTGCACACGTTGCACACGTCCGTCATGAGCAGTGAGTCAGGCCACGCGGCGCCGTCCGTCGGGCAGTGTGTGGTGTTCAGTGGCTGGTGCAGCTGGGCGCTTGAGCGGTACAGGCGTGTGCCCGCCTGTCGTGACGCGCTCCGCCGGCTGTGCGCTCGCCAGGTGCCGGCCGAACCTGGCCGGGCTCAGGTGCAACGAGCCCAAAGAGAACTACTTTGGCGGCCTGCTCGACTACATGGTGTACGAGGCCGAGACCGCCTCCGTCGACGACGTACGTGTCGAGCGCCACCCCAGGGACGACGGCGGAAGGATGCCGTCCCCAGCGACGACGTGATCGTCCCGCCGTCTGAAGACGGGTCTCCGTCGGGACGGACGGAATGCTCGGCAGGGCTAGGACAGCCGCATCCCCCCCCCCCCCCCCTGAACGTAGCTGGAAACCTACCCACAGACTTGCCTGTATAATCCCGGAGCGTTCCGCTCTGAGGTCATGTGTGTCCCGCTCTGGACTCGCGTTGGCCCTCTTGAATACCGACTGGTTTGCTGCGAATGTCCGTGGGGTCAGATGTATGACTCAAGTGGCGAAATTAAAGGTACAGACGCTGGCTTTGCTAGCTACTTATTTGCACCTTCTTGCGGATCCGGGCGTGACAGGTGTGACTATGTGCAACCAGGTATGGTAGCCTCATGTATAAAACCCTCATTTTTGTCCCATTGTTTTGAGAGTTATCGCGTGCGCGGTGTCCAGCCGGACGCCCTGCCGTGTCCGGCCTGGCGGTCCCACCCTGTCCCGCTGAAGTGGCCTGGGCCGTGTGCGCGCCCTGAGGCCCCTGTCATCGTCGCCCCTCGCCTGACCCCGGCTGTGCGCCGCCCGACGGCAGCGGTCGCAGACGGTGGTGCGGGAGCCGTACCGGGACGGCCGGCGCGTCAGCTGGACCGGACCCGGTTTCGTGCGCGTGTTCGAGAACTCGCACGTCGAGTTCGACGTCGACAACGTGGAGCGGTCGCTCGACTATGACCTGGTCATCCGCTACGAACCGCAGGTGAGTGGCGTTCTAATGGCCGGCGATCGCTGCAGATGGAGCGCCGGCCGGCCGCGGTACTGTTCCGCCAGGGCTGACCTGCTGTCATTGATATCGCGTGTAGTGTACGTATTTGCGCTTTGCAACTGGTTCCAGTTATTGACCGTGCTCTGTTTTGTAACGTTGCGTGACTGCCGCGGCTCGCCAGCGCGCCAGGGCAGCAGGGTGGTTCCTCTGCGTAGCACTGACCGGTAACAGTGGACTGGGTGGCGGGGTGATCCCGCTTGTTCACCGGACGACGCTGCTGGGCGCGGGAGTCCCGCCGTTCGATCCGCCGCAGCACCGACACACGCGGTGTCCGGTGACGGCGGCGGCGGCGGCGGGCTGACCAGCTGGTGCTGCGTACCGGCAGTCGGCGGCGACCTGGGACAACGTGCAGGTGACGGTCATCCGCGACCCGGAGGACCCGATCGACCCGGCCGGACAGTGCGGCGCGTACCGGCCCGAGAGCGACCGCCAGCAGCTGGTGCTGCCCTCCGGTGAGTGCGGCCGGAATCACGCGACAGATCAGCACTGGGCCGCCCACGTAGCGTGACCGTGGTGGGGGTAGGGAATAGCTGCTTGGCAGAGGGCCTCTTCTGTACGTGGCTGGATTCGGGTGTCTGTCGCCGTGCCGTGTTTGGTTGCCGGCGATCGCCGCTGGTGGCGTGCGGTCGATGTCCGCGGGCCGCCACTGACGTCCGTGTGTCTGGGCGGCCCGCAGACCGTCGCTACATCACCGGCTACCCGCCGCTCTGCCTGGAGCAGGGCAAACACTACAAGATCCGCATCGAGTTCTTGCCGTTCAACCAGCCCGACCCGAGCCGCAACGTCGGCACGCTCATCGACTCGGTCAGTGGCGGCCGCCGCGCCGGCGGCCGGTCACCGCCCTGGCGTCCGGACGCGGCGCAGAGCTGCGTGTGTGTTGGGCTATTGACGCGCTTCTACGCATAAGGGACTGTGCCGAAAACTGTAACGGGGGTATTAAACCCACCCGCTGTCTGGCCAGGCCTCGCGAACCCGCGTGCAGCTGCAATTCGTACTTTTTACGTGTGCGAGCGGTTCGATCGCTACATCACGCGTGTTGCTAACGGGGCGACCTGCGGGCTGGGCTGAGGTGACCGCCGCCGGAGCTGGTCCCACTAAGCCGCGTGTGTTTCCGGGGCGCAGATCGCGCTGATCCCTCGCGTCACCGAGGTGCCGATCTTCTCCGGCTCCGAGGTCGCCTCGCTGCGCAAGCAAGAGTTTGACCACTACCGCTGCGCCGAGTACTTCTACCAGGCGTACGGCGGCGACGATATGCCTGAGGCCTGCAAGAAACACATGGCCAGCATCGGCTACTATGTGTTCGAGGGCGCCAAGGACAAGGGTGCGTTGGAAGTGGAGGAGGAGTCTGATTCAGGCCGGCAGCGCCATCAGAGTACCTTGTGTCGGCGTAATAGTGTGTTAGTGCGTCTTTTGTAGTTGTGTCGTTCCACGACGCGTGCTTCGGAAACAAATGTATTACAATCATTAAAGTTATGTGGTGTATTACATATCGCTTAACAATGAAGTGTGGTGTTTTTATTTTTGAGGGTTCGTCTGTACTTTGTGCCTTGCATTGATGACATCCGCGGTCAGCTGTTTGTACCCCTGCCCTGTCCCGGTGCCCCACCTCCTGACCCGGTCCCGGTGTTCCGCCCCCTGACTCGGTCCTGGTGCCCCGCCGTCTGCCCCGGTCCCGGTGCCCCACCTCCTGACCCGGTCCCGGTGTTCTGCCCCCTGACTCAGTCCCGGTGCCCCACCTCCTGCCCCGGTCCCGGTGTTCTGCCCCCTGACCCGGTCCCGGTGTTCCGCCCCCTGACTCGGTCCTGGTGCCCCGCCGTCTGCCCCGGTCTCGGTGTTCCGCCCCCTGACTCGGTCCTGGTGCCCCGCCGTCTGCCCCGGTCCCGGTGTTCCGCCCCCTGACTCAGTCCCGGCGTTCCGCCCCTGACCCGGTCCCGGTGTTCTGCCCCCTGACCCGGTCCCGGTGTTCCGCCCCCTGACCTGGTTCCGGTGCCTCGCCCCGTGACCCGGCACCCTGCACTGGGCAGAGTGCGGCTGCGACCCGACCGGCTCCGAGTCGGCCATCTGTGACCCGCTCGGCGGCCAGTGCAAATGCAAGCCGAATGTGGTGGGCCGGCGCTGCGAGTCCTGCGCGCCGGGCACCTACGACTTCAGCCCCGAGGGATGCACAGGTCCGTGGGGGTGGCGGTCCGCTCCGGCCGCACGCAGGACCGCTCGCTGAGGCGTCAGCGGTCGGGGAGTGCTCGTGGCCGGGCCTTCCGCAGGGGGGTTGGCTGGTTAGCGCCTGGCTGCCTCTGCTGCTGTTTCCGTATCTTCCGTCTGGAGGTGAGTGGTGATGTGGCTGCGGTGTAGTAGACATTCAGACGTGCGCTAGACGTCTTACCCCACAGCAGTTGGAGAAAATAAGTGCTTCCTTGGATTACACTTCGTCGTCATTCGAACCTTATGACGCACTCGCTGGTGGAGCTATATGGCGTCGCCTGCCTCTCAACCTGGCAGGAGGGGTGGGCGGCGCGAGGAATCGAACCATGTACATCTGGTTAACCGGAACCAGACCAGTTCAGACCAGACCAAAGGTGAAGTTTCACTTTGTGCGCGGTACTTGTAACTGCAGTCGAGCAGCCTCGTTCGCCCACGTAGAGCATGTCGGCAGAACTGGCCTTGTGTGCGTCTCGCACCGCGTCCGCCGTGCCGGCAGCGTGCGACTGCAACGCTGTGGGCTCGCTGGACAACTTCTGCGACGCCACCAGCGGCCAGTGCGACTGCCGTCCCAACACGTACGGCCGCAGCTGCGACGAATGCCAGCCGGGCTTCTGGAACTACCCCAACTGTGAGCGCTGCGACTGCAACGGGCACGCGCCCACCTGCCACCCGCGTACCGGCGTCTGCATCGACTGCGCCGACTTTACGGCCGGCGACCGCTGCGATATGTGAGTGGCAGCCCGGGCGGAGCCGGCCAGTGGTATGGGGTGGAGGGGAGGGGCGAGGGCGGTACCGCCGCATGGCGCTCCTCTTGTGTCTCTGTTCGTGCTATTAAGCCTTGTCACCTTAAAAAACGAATGAATGAACAGACCGCAAGGAGATGGACGCTGGCTTTGCCAAAGACGTCCCGAGGCCGGACTGAGCGTCGTGTTGTATGCCCATCGCCCGTCACGACGCGCCCCACCTTTGCCGGGCCCAGTCTGCCCACCGTTGACGGCCGGGCTGTGGGCTGGCGCGAGAGCTGGCGCCCATCCCCTTTACCGTGGTATGGCCGAGCCGACGGCCGCCCCAACTGACGAGCCGTGCGCGCGCCGCCAGCTGTCTGGAGAGCTACTACGGCGACCCGCGCTTCGAGGTGGACATCCCGTGCCGGCCGTGTCCATGTCCGGACACCAGGGAGAGCGGGCACTCGTTTGCCGAGCGCTGCTACCTGGACCCCAGCACCGAGAGCGTCGTCTGCCAGTGTCAGCAGGGCCACACCGGTGGGTGCCAGGCCGGCCGGCCGGGTGGAGCCCAGGGTGGGCGGGGTATGGTCGGAGCAGGGCCGTGGAGAGCGGCCTTTGTCGGCCAGTCTCTGTCCGAGGCGCTCTCTGCGATCGTCGGCCGACATCGTGTTCTTGCACCGGCACAGGCGTTGCGCAGTCATACCAGCATTGTTACCAAGTTTGGAAGTCATACCTCACATATCAGCGTCATAGCTCGTGCTCTTTGTCACGCGTCGTCCGTCGTGGGCACTGTGCGAGCGCTCGCGAGCGATATCTCTGGCTGCACCCTGACGCCAGCGGTGCGGCGCGGCGACAGGCACTCGGTGCGACGTGTGCGCCGACAACTACTTTGGCAACCCGGAGGAGCCGGGCGGCTCGTGCCGCCCGTGCGACTGCAGCAAGAACATGGATCCGTCGCGGCCGGGTAACTGCGACGCCGCCACCGGCGAGTGCCTGCAGTGCCTCTTCAACACGGCTGGCTTCAGCTGCGAACGCTGCGCTGACGGGTTCTACGGCGACGCCGTTGAGCGCACCTGTCGCGGTGAGCGTCGGCGCCGGAGGGCCGGGGCCGGGGGGGGGGGGGGGGGGGCGAGTCAGGCGGGTCTGGGATGAGGGGAAGGCCGGTGGTTGCACTGTCAGTTGTAACTGATCGTTTGTGCTTATTCAGAAGGTGGCGAGCGTTGTGAAGCCGTGTTCAGTGCCGCTGAGTTGCAGGCCTTTCTTTCAGACGCGTCGCGCCATCCACGGCTGCCCCGCTGAGTGAATGCGACGGATGAGCGCTCCGTACATGTCCCGTGTGTCAGCTGCATGCGTCCTGTCCTCGGTGTTGGTGTGGTTTGGCTTCTGTTACAACTCCTGCGCACGCTCACTCCGACGAACAATGTCTGCTAACTCTTGGACTCACTCTGTTCATCACTGATCTGCCGTGCATTGGCGTGAACTTAAATTACATGGCCAGAATATTGATCTCGCATGCAGTGCCACTGGGACTGCGTTGTGTGTATCATCTCAAGCCGTGCCAGTGGCTGCCATGTAGTCCGAGTGTAGCCCGTCTACCGCCGTGCACCTGGTTGCCGTCTGACCGCGGCTGTGTGTGGCCGTCACACCAGAGTGCATGTGCAACATGCTGGGCACGGACGCGTCGGCCGGCCCGTGCAACCCCGCTACTGGCCAGTGCAACTGCCTGGCCAACGTGATGGGCCAACGGTGCGACCGCTGCATAGCCAACCACTGGAAGATCGCCATCGGCGACGGCTGTGAGCCGTGCGCCTGTGACCCGGTCGGCAGCTTGAAGGACCAGTGTAACGAGGTGAGCCGTGCGCCTGTGACCCGGTCGGCAGCCTGGAGGACCAGTGTAACGAGGTGAGCCGTGCGCCTGTGACCCGGTCGGCAGCCTGGAGGACCAGTGTAACGAGGTGAGCCGTGCGCCTGTGACCCGGTGGGCAGCCTGGGGGACCAGTGTAACGAGGTGAGCCGCGCACCTGTGACCCGGTCGGCAGCTTGAAGGACCAGTGTAACGAGGTGAGCCGTGCGCCTGTGACCCGGTCGGCAGCCTGAGGGACCAGTGTAACGAGGTGAGCCGCGCACCTGTGACCCGGTCGGCAGCCTGGAGGACCAGTGTAACGAGGTGAGCCGCGCACCTGTGACCCGGTCGGCAGCTTGAAGGACCAGTGTGACGAGGTGAGCCGCGCACCTGTGACCCGGTCGGCAGCCTGGAGGACCAGTGTAACGAGGTGAGCTGTGCCGAAGAACAGTGTACTGAGATAGCGGTATGGAGCTGGTGAATGATAAACGATGTAACGAGATGAGGTGCTTATAAAAGATCGTGGCAAATAAGTTGGCGACGGTTATGTGAGGCTAGCGTGGCTTGTACGTTCGTTTCAGTGGTACCCATATTCGGCGAGGCGCCTTTTGCGTCGCGGTCAGTCGATAATAAACAGGAGCGTTTTGATTTTGTGACTGATGAAGATGCAAGTACGTGGGACTAGCCGCTTTTGCTTATGCGTACAAACATTTTTTAACGGTGCATTGTGTTGATCCCTCTTATGAATTTGGTGTGCCAAGGGGTTCACTGATTAGAATATGGGCACAAATTAATGAGTGGTTTTGGTTAAAACTCACTAGCCTTGGTCGTGGACGAAATGTCTGAGGTCTAGGGCCCGGTGCATGATGCTCGGAGCTGGCGTACAACGTCCCTCTGTCTCGGTCTAGGGCCCGGTGCATGATGCTCGGAGCTGGCGTACAACGTCCCTCTGTCTCGGTCTAGGGCCCGGTGCATGATGCTCGGAGCTGGCGTACAACGTCCCTCTGTCTCGGTCTAGGGCCCGGTGCATGATGCTCGGAGCTGGCGTACAACGTCCCTCTGTCTCGGTCTAGGGCCCGGTGCATGATGCTCGGAGTCGGCGTACAACGTCCCTCTGTCTCGGTCTAGGGCCCGGTGCATGATGCTCGGAGCTGGCGTACAACGATCTGACCTGGTGCCGGCAGTACGACGGCCAATGCGTCTGCAAGCCGGGCTTCGGCGGCCGCCGTTGTAACCAGTGCCAGGACAACTTCTGGGGCAACCCGCGCATCGAGTGTTTCGCCTGCGACTGCAACCCATACGGCTCGGAGAACCAGCAGTGCCACCGCGACACGGGACTCTGCCCCTGCAAGGAGGGCATGGGCGGCGACAAGTGCGACCAGTGCGCGCGCGGCTTCAAGGGCCGGGCGCCCTACTGCGACGCCTGCGGCGAGTGCTTCAACAACTGGGACCGCATCCTGACCGAGCTGCGCGGTACGTGATATGGCGGTGGCTTGTACATGGTGGCTTGAACAGGAGCGTGAATGGCGCCGAGAGTGAATGGCAACGGAGATGGCTTGCATGTTTGTACGCGCCTCTCGCCACCAAGAAGCACACGTGCTCCTTGCTGTAGAGCTCCGGTCACGAGCCCGTGTATTGTACCATAGCAGCCATGGATTTGTGCCTGCCGCCCCCACTGGTGCCACTAGTGGCGCCCCTCTCACCACTGCGCCGTCACCCCCACCGGTGCCACTAGTGGCGCCCCTCTCACCACTGCGCCGTCACCCCCACCGGTGCCACTAGTGGCGCCCCTCTCACCACTGCGCCGTCGCCCCCACCGGCGCCACTAGTGGCGCCCCTCTCACCACTGCGCCGTCACCCCCTGCGTCACACTTTCCGCCGTCGCCTTCGCCAGAGCGAACCGAGTACCTGGTGGAGGAGGCTGGCAAGATCAAGCAGGGCGGCGCGTCGGGCGCCTACCAGCGCGAGTTCGAGCAGATGCAGAGCTGGCTGGACAGCGTACGCCAGATGCTGGGCAACGCCACCGTCAGCGACGACCAGGTGGACCGGCTGCAAGGCGTCATCGACGAGGTCAGGTGGGTGACGCGCGGAGTCCCATTGAGGCGGCGACAGCACGGCCGGTCGGCCGCCGCGCCCGGCTTTCGCGCGGTGTCGCTTGCCATACTGCTGGCGAGCGACACCGCGCTCCGTTCAGCTGGAGCCGTGCAGTGAAGTGGACGGTGGCGGTTGGCGTCGGCAGTTGGTGCGGCCGCCCCTCGCGCCGTGCCGCGGTCCGCTGACAGGCGGCGCCGCTTCTGACGCGCCACCGCCGCCCGCCTCCAGGTCGAACCTCACCGAGTCGGAGACGCTGCTGCAGGCGATTGAGACGGACGTGGACGACACGATGCAGCGCGTGCTGCTGGCCGAGATCAAGGTGCCGCGCCTGCGCGGCCGCGCCGACTCGCTGCGCACCATGGCACTGGCACTGAAGGAGAACGCTACGCTGCTGCAGGAGGCCAACGTGGACGGCGCGCTCTCGCTGACGCGCGAGGCGCACCGCCGCTCCGAGGTGGGTCTGTCGCCGGCCGACCGGCCGAGGGTGATGCCTTTCCACCGGTCCGTCTCTGTCGACGCCTGAGTGGGGTGCGACGAGGGCGCAGTTTGACCGTATCACGTCCGCGTACCCGCGTGACATGGGGGATGCTCGGTGAATAGATATGTCGAGTGATGTATTGTATTGTATTGATGTGTCGGTTGATGCTGACGTTTGCCGGCCCCTGCTACAGTGGACGGTGCGACAGATGATGTGTGTTGTGCCAGTGTGTGGGGCGTCGAGGTGGTGGCCCGGACGTGACGCCGCCTGTGTGACGGCGGACGCCGGCCGATCCGCCGCGTGACCGCGGCCCGCTGCGGCAGACGGCCGAGATCAGGGTGCAAGAGACGGAGCGCACGCTCTCCGAGTCGGAGCGGCAGCGGCGGCGCACCGAGAACCTGCTCAGTCGCGCCGGACAACAGTTCAACCAGTCGCAGTCGACCAACCAGCAGCTCATCGACGAGGTCAACCGGAAGCTGAGCGACTTCGAGAGCGAGATCCCCGCCATTAACGACCAGGTGCGCCACCGGGAACGGTCGGGGCCGAGCATCGGCACGCCCACGGCCGATGGCGCCATGTATGGGATATTCCACGAGATACTGTGTGTCAGTGTTCCGCTGGCGGTGCCCGCCATTGTTGCCAGTGTGGCTCATCGACGTACATCAGTGTACGTTGAACCCCCGGTGCGGTTCTACTCATGCTAATACTATCATATGCAGTCCGATTCAACAGAAACTCCTGCTCTCTCACCGCCGGATTCGCGCGTGCTTCGATTGTTGGGCTGCACCACCACCGCCACCGTTGTACGCACGCTCTCCTTGAACGCGGAGTGCGTCTCGCGGCCACCGCCGTCCCCACGGTCCGGCGTGACCGGCGCGCCGCCGCCAGGTCTGCGATGGCGAGGGTGACCCATGCGATTCGCTGTGCGGCGGCGCCGGCTGCGGGAAGTGCGGCGGCCTCTCCTGCGACGACGGCGCCGTCACCAAGGCGGCCAACGCCCTCTCGGTGGCCGAGGATGCGGCGCGCGTGCTGGCCGAGAGCGAGCGGGAGGTGGACGGCCTCCTGCGCGGCGTGAGTACTCAGGCCGGCAGCGGCGGCGTCACGGGCGATCTTGTAACGTCACTGATCGGGGACAACTGCCGTCCGTGTTCAGAACGATCTTGTAACGTCGCTGATGGAGGACGACTGTCTTCAGAGCGATCTTGTATCGTCACTGATCGGGGACGACTGCCGTGAGTGTTCAGAACGATCTTGTAACGTCACTAATCGAGGACGACCGCCGTCAGTGTTCAGAACGATCTTGTAACGTCGCTGATGGAGGACGACTGTCTTCAGAACGATCTTGTAACGTTGCCGACTGGGGACGACTGCCGTTAGTCATTCAGTCAGTGTGAACCGCTTGTGAGACCTGTATTGTCGGTCAAACCCTTGTTACCAGTCTGTGGGGTTGAGCCTAGATGCGCATGTCGCTCGTCGGATGACAGTGCCGCGCGTCTTCTCCAGCTGGGTGTGAGACTGAAAAAGGCGCTGCTCGGCCTGCGGCGCCGGCCCGGCGGCTCCCGTCCGGCCGGCGCGTCTGTTGTGACCCGCTCCGTCTGCCGCGGCTCGGCCTGCGGCGCCGGCCCGGCGTCTCCCGCCCGGCCGGCGCGTCTGTTGTGACCCGCTCCGTCTGCCGCGGCTCGGCCTGCGGCGCCGGCGCGGCGGCTCCCGTCCGGCCGGTGCGTCTGTTGTGACCCGCTCCGTCGGCCGCCAGGTGACGATGGCCAAGCGCGCCGCCGAGGAGGCCTACAACTTGGCGCAGATGGCCTTCACCGGCGCCGAGCTCAACCACAACCGCACGCAGGCCACTAAGCTGCGCGTGGAGGAGCTGCTGCAGCAGATCGGCGACTTCTTGTCCAACGACGGCGCCTCGCCCGAGGCCATCCGCGAGATGGCGCAGGAGGTGGGGCGCCGACGACACGTTTAAAAGTGGTTGGAGTCGGTGTGGTGTTTTGTTGCGTGAATTTTAAGCTTTACATGTGTTAAGTTTATTTCAGTTGTGTTGAGTGTTTTTGTAAGCCGCATCCATGTGTTGCATTGCATATTTTCTAGCTATCAGAACGATTCGAGAGATGTTGGGATGTGTCTAACCTGAGGCCGCAGGATGAATCTCTGAAAAACTGGCTTGGTAGCCTCCTTTTCCAACGGAGGTGCCACGCTTCACCTAACCACCTTTACTCCTGCTCGTCATTCGCTCGCACCGCGCGCGTCTTCCAATTTCGCTATCTTCACTCGATCGCTTTCAACTGCACCTGGTGCCCGAGCGGCGCCTGGTGAGGCGCCGCGGCGAGCGCCCGGCTCGGTCACCGGCGCCCGCTGACGCTGCGCGCCGCCCGGCAGACGCTGTCCAAGTCGATCTCTCTGCGGCCGGAGCAGATCACCGACCTGGCGCGCCAGATCAACAGCACCATCAGCTCGCTGACCAACATCCAGGTCATCCTGGATGAGACGGCCGACGACCTGGCCACCGCCTATGCGCTCAAGCAGCGCGCCGACGTCGCCAAGTGAGTGGTGCACCGGCGGGGGCGGCGGCCGGGCACGCGCCGACGGACCGGAGCCGGCGGAGCGTGCCCGCCTCCGGAGCGGCGCCGCCGCCCTCGTCCAGCACGTCCCTCTGTCTTCCGTCTCCACCTGAGTCTGGCCAGAGCCTGCGTTTGCCTGCGGTCCGTGTATGGCCGGGCCTGAGCTGGTGCCGTCTCAACGCACGCGTGTGTCCGTTTGCGGCCAGGTCGGCGGCCGAGAAGATCCTGCAGACGGCTGAGTCAGTGATGACAGCGCTGGACCGAGCCGAGACGGCCCAGCAGGCGGCCCGCACCGCCATGGGCTCCGTGGAGACCATCGTCGAGCTGGCCGAGGCCGACCTCGTCTCGGTGGGTCAGGCGCTGCGGCCGGGTGCAGCTCGCCTCCGTCCACGGGCGGGTCGAGCTGGCCGAGGCCGACCTCGTCTCGGTGGGTCGGGCGCTGCGGCCGGGTGCAGCTCGCCTCCGTCCACGGGCAGAGGGGCAAACTGAGGCCGTGCGAGGCGATCTTCGGACTGCGTGGGCTTGTATGTTGGGAAACGTTTACTTGGATCCCCAGGCGTTCAAGATGGTTCCCTGCAACACTAGAAAACTTTTAACCCCGGCCAAAGATGACTGCCACTGGCACTCTGGTGTATGTGTTCCAAAAAGTTGCAAAGCGGGCCTTGCGTTTAGTCCCGCGAGCCGACGCCTGACGTCTGGATGTGGCCCGTGACCGAACGCCGGTGTGCGGGCTCTGACCTTGACCTGACGCCGGTGTGCGGCCAGCTGTGACCGAACCCCGACCCTCCGCAGATCGCGTCCGTGGCCGGCGAGGCCCAGCGCCTGGCCGACGAATCGCTCACCAACGTCAACGCGCTGCGCGTCCGCCAGAAGGACCTGATCCGCGAGTTTTCGCGCAACGAGCTGGACGTCAAGGGCGCTATCAAGGAGGTGAGCGTCCGGCGCGCCGCGGACTGCGGCAGCGGTGGGAGGAGTGAGTGTCCGGCGCGCCGCCGGCTGCGGCAGTGGCGGGGGGAGTGCCGCCGGCTGCGGCAGCGGTGGGAGGAGTCCCGCGGCCTGGGCCGTACGCCGGCTGGTGGCGGTTGGTTTGTGAACGCCGTCGATCGCAGACAAACGCAGGCGGCGCCAAGTAACGCTAGACGCTGACCCAGCTGTGGCTGCTGTGACGAAAGCCGTTCAGTGCAGCTCTGGTGCCGCGCGTTTGCCCACCGTCTGAACGGCAGCGCTCGCTTACCGGTCGTCTGTGCTCCAGGCGCGGCTGGCGGCAGCGCTGGCTGACAAGGCTGAGCAGAACGTGGGCTCGCTGGAGACAGCGTACCAGGAGGCGATTGACCTGCTCAGTAGCAAGAGCGACGCCAGTGTGTCGGCCCGCGAGCGCGCGCAGAGCCTGCTCGAGCGCGCCAACAAACTGGCGTCGCAGGCCCTGGGCCAGGTGGCCGAACTGGAGGGTGAGTGGACCGGGCGGAGGGACGCTGCGCCCTTGCTGACCCTCCTTGGCGAGGGGCACTGACTGTTCTGTGGACTTCGCCGCGCTGGGATGTAGGTATGTGGGAAAAGGGAAATCTGCCGTCCAAAGGCAGAAAGGCCTTAAAACCATTAGTTAACGTAGCACTTACGCCTTCTTGCCTTTGGACGGCAGATATTTTGTATGCCTGTTGTGTTTCGTGTTGGTTTGAGCAGGCAGTGTTGTAAAGCCCGTCCCGGCATTGAGCACTCGCTCCGTGTCACTGAATTTGGTCCTTTGCCCCAGGCGTGTGCTTCAGTCACGTTGGGTCCGGTAGTTTGTCTTTCCGTCACAGCCCAATGCGCCGTATGTCCTTACCAATACGTCCACCCCGTTCCTGTCGACGTGCAGGGTTGATTTGTTTCCCCACATGTGCTGGCCGACGCGAAAGCCACGATATCGGGTGTTTGTCATGTAACGACAGAGTTGTGACAGTTCTCCTGAGTCATGGCTTCCCGCCGGTGCGCCACTTGGCGTTGTCGTGCTGCCGTCCTTGCGGGTGGCCTGCGGCGCACCGCCGCTCGAGGCGTCCGTCTCCGCGCCCGAGGGCGGGCGGTCTGATGCGGATGTGCCGCCGAGCGGCCCCTCTATCTCCGTGGCGACCCGGTGGCTGCTGTGCCGGTCGGCCCCGTGCCGTGGCGCTGTGCGTGGGCTGGGTGGGACCGCTGACGCCGGCGGCGCTGTGCGTGGGCTGGACGGGACCGCTGACGCCGGCGGCGCTGTGCGTGGGCTGGACGGGACCGCTGACGCCGGCGGCGCTGTGCGTGGGCTGGGCGGGACCGCTGACGCCGGCGGCGCTGTGCGTGGGCTGGACGGGACCGCTGACGCCGGCGGCGCTGTGCGTGGGCTGGGCGGGACCGCTGACGCCGGCGGCGCTGTGCGTGGGCTGGGCGGGACCGCTGACGCCGGGCGTCGCGGCCACCTGTCGTCTGTCGGCCGTCTGTTATCGGCGCGGCCGACGGGCAGCACCTGGCGCCGCCGGCCGACCGGACCAGAGTGGCGCCGCGCCGCGCCGCGCCGCCCGCCGGTCCCCGCGCGCTGGGGGCGAGACTGGTGGTGGCCGATTTCGACGGCTGCTGCGGTCTGCCAGCGAAGGCTCGCTCATGGTTCTGGGAAATGTCAAGACCATGAGCGGGCCATGCGCTACCATCGTTCACGGAGGTTTCCAGTGTGAAAACAAGTGTAACGGATTTGCTAGTAGGCCGGACTGGTCGTTTGACCGCATTCGTCATTCGCCGGCGCCGCTATAGTTTTGTGCCCTGCGACCGATTGCATAAGGCCGCTGAAGTGCATGATGTCGGGTCTGCCCGTAAGCTATCTAACCAGGTAATCTGAGTGCTCTGAAGGTGGCGACCCGTGGGAGCGTCATGCGCGCCTGCAGACGGTGAGCTGTGGCCGTGGCCCCGCATCGCTGGCGTGGGCGGCTGCTGATAGCGTGCGCGCGCCCTCTGTCCGGCAGAGATGAACTCTGAGTTCACGCGCCACGAGATCCGCCTGACCGACCTCTCCGACGAGGTGATGGCGCTGAACGCGCGCATGGAGGCCTACCTGCGGACCATCACCGAACGGGCCGAGTACTACCGCACCTGTCAGTCGTAGGCTGCTGGGCCGGCCGCGCGCGCGCGCGCGTGGGAGAGAGAGAGACGTGGGCGCTGATGCGAGATGCGCCAGAGACGCGGCTGGCTGCCGGTGGAGTGCAAGCAGGTGCGAGCGAGTCACTGCTCAGAGCAGGCCCGCTGGAGCGCTCGCGCGTGCGTGGGCGTTTGCGTCCGTGTGTGTGTGTGTGTGTGTGTGTGCCAAAGTACGGGAACGATTCACTGCCGCCTAGTTAATCGATAATAAACGCAACGTCTGCTTTACGTAGCTTAATGACGCATAATGGGCGGGGTAGCGGCGGCGCCGGCGTGTCTGGAGCTGGACGCTACGCAAACAGGTCGGGCTGGGCGCCTCTCCGCCGCGCTGCACCCTTACTCATAGTTTTAGCTGTCAATAGGCTCAGGAATGACAACCTTTGGCCGCGGCGACCGCTGGGGTCATCGTTACCATTTGCTAGATAGCCGCGCATGCGTGTGACAGTGTACTTAGAGTTCTTAGCGGCCCGCGTCCCGCAGTGTTGTGCCAAACTTGTAACCCCGGCTAGTCCACGGAATAAGACAAATTACCTCCTCCAAGTGCTCTTATGCCACGGCGACCGGTGTGCCTTGTCTGAGTGAAGGCGGCCGGGCTTGTCCATCTCGCGCCCTCCGTGCGGATCTGTACTTACCTGATCAAATAAATGATCATTTTATACGTCGGTATTCGTGGTTTTTGCGTTTGGCATCGGTAGATCTGTTTGGGAGGTGCGGAAACGGTGTTGTCCCTGATGTCACGAGCCTGCACGTGCTGGCGGACCATCAGCGCAGGGCGGTGGAACACACCTGTTCTGCTCTGAATGCGCCAGAGACGGCTACGCTTGCGTTTGACAGTAAGGTCTATACTCCCTATATGGTGTTTTCTGGCGGGTGTGTTGACTGATTCTTGTGGCTGTGATCACTTACTCCCGTGGCCAATTGTGACGAGACCCTGGCTTGTCTGGTGGTGAGCGTCCGGGCCGAGACCCCAGCCGGAACCATGCCGAGACCCCAGCCGGAACCAGGCCGAGACCCCAGCCGGAACCGGGCCGAGACCTCCGCCGAAACCAGGCCGAGACCCCAGCCGGAACCAGGCCGAGACCCCGGCCGGAACCAGGCCGAGACCCCAGCCGGAACCAGGCCACTGCTGGGCTGCCTAGGATATTTTGAAGCGCATTTGTGACCGCAACTGACGTGTTACTTGCTTCAGAATGTGATGTCGGTGAAAAGTTTACGCTGTTTCTGTTAGTTTCAACCAGATACCATGTTTGAGACCGTTTTGTCCCTTACTTGTTTCCGACTGCACCAATGCGGCCCTTTGTGCTTATTTCTTCAGCACAGCACAAACACTTGGGTACTCTTTTCGGTCGTGCATGTTGGTCTAATGTGTTGTCTTCAATTCACCTCTTGCCATGACTTAACGCAACTTTTATGACAAATCGTCATTACGTAATATCCCGTTCAATGGTGCACGGGAACGTTTTTCAGTCATGCATGGCAGTCTATCCTGTCCTTACATAAATATTCTCATAGCGAGATGAAGCAGGTGAAGTGAGTCGCTGACATATGTTTGAAAAGTACAGCGTGGGCTCCCCTCTCCCCATCCCTCATCCCTCAACGGCCGTCTCTCAAATCAACCGAGCTCAGCATCAGCTACAAGACGACTCCTTGTTTAAAGCCCCGCGGCAATGAAATGCCTTGAACGTTCGGAAAAGAGCAGGCCAGTGCCATTCAATTTACACCTGGTGATCACCAGAGCTTGTGCTGGGTGTTGTATTGAGAGTTTGTGTTGCCTTCAGACGGGTGTATCTGGAGGCTGGAGGAACTACGAAAGGGCTTGCATTTAATGTCCTGTCATTTGCCTTTGTGCTTCACGTGTGGGGAAGGCGGCAACGCGGAAAAAAAATGTTGGAGAATGGTGACATCTGGTGTTGTATCGCCGTTTTTATAGAGTTTTCCTAATTGAACAACCGGAGTGAACAAAGAAGGCTGCCCCAGTGCCGCCGCTTCTCACGTTCCTCCAAACGTTTAATTACGCGAAACGTACAAAAGTGTAGAACTCACGTGTGTCGCGTTTGGGCAACAGGTGGTGCTCCGTGACTATCATGGTCATGTTGTGGTACGGTGAGCTGTGCACTGACGCGAATGACAGCACCGACTGCTGGCACCTCTCTCTGCTGGTGCTGACCTCTCCCGCGCCGGTGCTGATCTGTTCGGTGACTGCGCCGCGTCAGCGTGATTCGGGCCGACCGGCGGCGGCGGGGGTTTGCACCAGCTGTCTGCAGCAGCCGCCGTCACTGGCGACCGGTCGCGCTTCAGTGCAGGTCGGACCGCCGCGCAAGCGCCCGAAGCAAAACTCCGCCATGATGTTCGGTGAGTACCACCGATGGTTGAGCACGTTATGGCGTTTGACGCTACCGCCGTTGGTGTCGCATGGTGAGTCGAGGACTCTGGTGACTCACGTAGCGACATGGTGAGTTGGTTGGTCGCTCATTCTTTAGTGAGCAGCACCGAAGGCGTCTTGACACTTGGTGATATCACCGATGGCGGACCGCCTGGTCGTTGTTGCACACCACCAGACGCAGTTCGCATCCGACGGAGGTCTTTTCTACGGGCAATAGTTGACCTCAGGCGACTTCATTATTCGCCGTAAAAGTGTCCAAGTGTCAACGTGACAACAACGTAGAAGGCAGACGTACCATACTTCACTACAATCGCTCGTGTTATAATCTAGAAGTACAGACGCTGACATTCAATCGGTCAGTAGCCTGGTTTCGTATTCACTAAGAGGGTCTCCACCTTCCCATCCCCCTCGACTGCGCCATCGAATTTGGAAGAAAATTTGGGTTAAATCTGTGGAGAAATTGAACTTAACGTGTGAACACGGGCAGATGTATCAATTTTCGGGCGAGGCTAAGCTAGATAGCTCAGCCCCGCCCCCTCACCGAACCATTTTGCAACACCGATGACAGGATCCTTATATAAATCGCGACTGGGTCAGAGTGGCTATACCTGGTGCATGGACCCCTCTTCAGAGTGGAACTTTCGCCAGGACAGCCTCGAGGTCAGGGCCATACAGTCTTGGCACCAACACACGACTGATAGCCGCAACATATGCGCCCGTAGGCGTAGCGCTGCTTGGTTTAAGACTGAAGCGGGACAGACGCATTCCCGAACAAACTCGGCTAATGGTTCCGTGCCCTGAGGTCACGTTGTTCTTTTGGTCAGTTAGATGTCGTTCCGTTGATGCTTCACCGCCTTTGCTTTTTATAGCACGCCATGGCGCTGGGCTGCTGGGCCCACACTGCGGAGTCAGGGCATTAGCTGCGCAGCCGGGAGGAAGCCGCTCCACAGAAGATTGTAAGGCATTTGCTCTAGTTTCGCGCGTTCCCCAGGTTCCCTTTAGCAACGCAGAAAACTCTGGCCGCATTACGTGATCGAACGTACCCTTCGCGTTTTTACGCTGCGTTGCCTGGTGGTCGGGCGTGGTAAAATGATCTTATGCCTATTTGACCACGGTTTAAGATGTCCTCGTATGTTTTTTATACTTTTGGTAGAGAAAAACATGTTATGAAAGGCAAGGTATAAAACGTATTCTACATTCTTACCGATCCGGCACATTATGTCGTATTTTGCCTCTTTTCCTTCATTTATGTATTCACGGTCATCCGTCCGATTCATTCTCAAGACGGCTGACTGATCTCAACAAACAAATCTCAACAACCTTACGTTATCTAACCTTATGGTGGTCAGGAATTATAAAAGGCCACTAGGCTTGGTGGTCCCGGTCTCATCGGGCTCCCGGTCCTGTAACCAAACAGTCTCAACTTATGGGAAGATTCAGTGTGTGATGCCACACATGATGTCAGACCAGTGCATATCAAGCCTGGACTTGAACTGTTCAACTGGGGCTAACAGCATGAATAGGTGTGGAAGAGCACTCTAGTCCTTGAAGGTCAGGCATGCTGAACGAATTACAATGGACAAGAGTCCTGGCCCAAGGTGTTCCCAGCTTCCATTGGTGTCCTCTTGTCACCTCGTTGTTGCGTCTTGTCAGGAACTCCTCTGCCGACAGCGACATACCTTCATAAATCACTGGTACATTTAAACCATGTCATAGGGACAAATAACCTTGGCTTTAAGCCACCCTGCCACCACGGTAGCACAGTGAGGGCAACTGGAGGAGTATGAGCCTCTCAGCGTATGGCCGGTACCTTACATTACAGACAAGACGGGCAGCTCGTCGCTGAACCCGCTCCAGCTGCTTCTGGTCCAGTCTGCTGAATGGGCCCCAGTTGATGTTGCCATACTTCAAGTATGGATGCACTGAGCTCTTGAAGAGCGATGACAACATGTGAGCACTGATGCTGGCAAAAGACCACCTCGCGACCGCCAGCATCTGGTTGGCCTTGGAGATCGCCTCCGCCGTCTGAAAGTAGAACTTGAGCCGGTAATGCACGAAGATCTCGAGGTCCTTCTCGGTGGACTCGACCGCGATTACGGCGTCGTCTAAGAAGTAGGTCACCCTCGGGTTGCGGTTTCCGATATGCATTACTTCCACTTCGCCGTACTTAAGGGGAGCAGTCACTCCTTTGACCACTTGGCTAGGACGTCACGTGGTAGAGGTCAACCTCTAGAGGTGAGTCAGTCAGGGGCCTCGGGACGCGACGGTAGATCTTGGTGTCATCCGCGTCTTGACCACGCTTCGCACGTGTTCTGGTAGGTCGTTCACGAAGATTATGAATGGCGTTAGTCCCAGCACCAATCCTTGCGGGATGCCGCTGACGACGTCGATCCAACCCGACTTCGAGCCCTGGACCTGCACCCTCTGCATCCGGTTGGTAAGGAAAGCCCTGCTCCAGCGCAGCAAGTTACCTCTTACACCATAAGCATGGCGCTTGGAGAGCAGACGGTTATGAGGCACAGAATCAAGAGCTTTGCTGAAATCCAGGGACGCCACGTCCACCGGCTCTCAGTCCTCTACCGCAGCCCTCCAATCTTCCATGACTTCTAATAGCTGGGTGATGCTGTACTGCTTTGGGAGAAACCCATGCTAAGCTGCATGAAGAAGGCCAGACTCCAAGAAGTGATTAATTAGGGCATCTCTGAACGAAGGAATCAAGGATCTTAGGTGGAACGGCATAAGACCCACTGGGCGGTTGCTCGCTGGAGACTGTCGGTTACCTTTCTTGAGGACTGGGACTACCTCGCCGAGCTTCTGCTCCTGGGGAGCCTTCCGGATGCTAAAGATTTCCGGAAAAGCCTGCCAGAACGTGTGCAGATTCACAAGGAAGCCTTGGGTGGGCATCGTCTGGCCCAGGGGCGCTCGAGGTCTTCAGAGCAGCCAGTGTCTTTGCCACTGCCTGGGTAGAGATGTTATTAACAATGGTCCAAATATTGCTGTTTGGAGAGTGGCGTCTTCTTGTCAAGTTTATTCACGGGAACACTAATTTCAATTTGGCTAATTCCCCTCCCCCTCCCCAACAAACCTAGGTTGCCACAGCTACTTTGGAATGTGTAACCCTATGATCAATGATGTACGGTATTATAAGGCTTTTTTAGTTGTTGTCATGTCCATTTACAAAGTTGTACAACACTGCAGTCAGCTCACAGATATCTGCACTGTGCATTTTAAGTGCGACATTGCCTTCTTCTATGAGATTATCATAAACCTTAACTCTTAAGCATGCACCTCTAGACCAACCATGTATGCTCAAAACCTAGAATAAAAGCTTTAAGATCCGACAGCAAATAGTCTGCTTGAAATTCATATCATCCTGTGGTAGTCCTCTGGACATGAATGTAACCTGGTAAGTATCTGAAGTGGGCCGAAGGGCATATTTGGAAAGGAGCTGGGCTCAGGATTTTTCTGATACCCTTTCTCCATTGCTCTCTGCATCGTGGTTAATTCATTTGTGACCCAAGTCATCATTTGGGTAGTCATACCTTTCTCAAAGGGAAATAAAATGCCACCCATGCCTCCAAAAAAGCTCTCTGTAATGACATCCTCCCTTCAGTGTGTGTGTGTGTGTGTGTGTGTGTGTGTGTGTGTGTGTGTGTGTGTGTGTGTGTGTGTGTGTGTGTGTGTGTGTGTGTGTGTGTGTGTGTGTGTGTGTGTGTGTGTGTGTGTGTGTGTGTGTGTGTGTGTGTGTGTGCGTGCGTGCGTGCGTGCGTGCGTGCGTGCGTGCGTGCGTGCGTGCGTGCGTGCGTGCGTGGCGTGCGTGCGTGCGTGCGTGCGTGCGTGCGTGCGTGCGTGCGTGCGTGCGTGCGTGCGTGCGTGCGTGCGTGCGTGCGTGCGTGCGTGTGTGTGTGTGTGTGTGTGTGTGTGTGTGTGTGTGTGCGTGCGTGCGTGCGTGTGTGTGTGCGTGTGTGTGTGTGAGGGATGTGGGGGAGGGGGCAGGAGCATTTGTTGTTTTTGTTGCATCTGTTGCATTTGGTCCCGGTCTTGCTAAGCAGCCATAGCTCGCCTTCTGGTGGCTCAGCTCCATTTTATGATGTGCTTTGGCACTGGTCTCTTCCAGCGGGCGCGGTACCGCAGCACCTGTCCGGGGCGCTCCGGCGCTCCGATCTGGTCCTGAATCTGCGGCCTGCTATCCGATATTGTCAAGTCGCATTGTAAATCAGACTTTGGACGCCAGTGTCCGGAAGGTCTGCAAGTGTTCGACATTTGCGGTCACGCTCTGAGGCAATCCCTGCACATGCCTGGCCATTGTGCGCACTTTGCAGCTGTACTGAACTGATGAGTTAGTGAGTTATTGATAAAACTGGTAAGTAGTAGGTGTTTGGCTCGTGGCTTTTGAATAAATGGTTTCCAATATAATGTTTCATGTGTGATGTATGTGCATGCAGTATATCTGGTTTTCAGGAAACACCTGCAAGCTGATGATGAAGGCTCGCTGCCCGTTCTTGAGGATGTTCCCGCAGAACTACGTGCAGAGCTATGGTGCCAGCCTGATATTCTCCTACGGCTCCAGCTGCCCTGTGGTGTCAAAGAAGATGAGCGCCATTGCTGCAGAACCAGGTGCGGTCCACACAGCTTGCTCCAGGGGAGGCTGGTTGCCGTGGTGGCATGCACGGTCAGGCGCCGAACATTTGTGTAGCCATAAGCCGCACATTTTGCCTAGTGGCGTGCATCACTACTGCTGTGGGTATAATTAACTCCAGTATGTTGATTCCGTTTTGCTTGTCAAGATTTACATGATTCCCTGCCCATCAGTGGATAGACAGTGTCATTTGGAGCCCGCATTGCCGGACTGCTTTCATACTGAATAACGCAAAACAAACAGAGGTAAGCGCTTGGGTCACACCACTCATCGCCGCCGCTCTTTTGTTGCTGTTGTTGCAAACCGGCACTGGTGTCGTTTTTTGGAGCTCCCCACAGATCACAGCAATGCTGGTAACATCCGCGATGAGTCACAGGAGTAGCCGTGCTAGGGTATCAAGTCCCCGTAAAGGCTTGATTTACAAGGCACTGACAAATGATCGAATTAAGCGGAGCATGGATGTGGTAGCCCCCACACATGCATCCCAAAGACTACTGCATTCTTATTATCTTACCACACCAGTGGTGATGCGAGTGTGAGGAACAGGGGGAGATAGATGAACGTAACTCAACACCTCGAGTTTCCAACCGGACGACAGACCTTCCACGTGAAAGGCGGCATGTGTCACCGCGACTCCTCCGCTCCCCTCCCCCCCCCCCCTCCCCCTCGCCGGGTGTCCGCCCGAGACAAGGTGCTCCAGATGTCTCGAACGATACGCCGACTCATCCACACCTTCAGCCCATTGCTCACCCATGGGTGCGCTCAAGCATACACCGTCATACACATCCGCGCGTCTCAAAAGGCAGATGGTGACCAGATAGGGAAGACAAATTGCCAAGCATACATTATGGGAATACTTTTGAGATAGGTAGGCTTCGTGACGCTCTTTAGGCGCGCACATTCCAACTAATTCTATTGAGATAGGTAGGCTTCGTGACGCTCTTTAGGCGCGCAAATTCCAACTAATTCTATTGAGATAGGTAGGCTTCGTGACGCTCTTTAGGCGCGCAAATTCCAACTAATTCTATTGAGATAGGTAGGCTTCGCGACGCTCTTTAGGCGCGCAAATTCCAACTAATTCTATCGCATTTACTCGTGGCTAGTGCCTGATTTCAAACACTTGTTAGTAACCTAGTAAGACGTTGTATGTGGCTTCGAAAGAGCGACATGTTAATAGACGTTTAGGCTGTCATTTATTTTACTAACACTGATAGGCTTGATCAGTGCGTGGAAAAGTCTGTCGTTCATGAGAGCGTACCAGGTGTACGTTCAATGATGAATAACTTCGCGCGCTGAATCACGAGTAGAAATGCGCGGGAATGTCAGTAATCTTTTCAGATCAAGTCATTGTAATGAACATCATCGATGTGTTTTTGGTGTTAGTTTTCGCGACCAAATTTGTACGGGTTTTGGCTCCAACATGTGTTCTCGATTGGTTTCGGAAAAAGTGACAGTGGTCGTTTTGTGGCCGATTCCAGGCGCACCGCTGAGACGGATGGTCTCGGAAAGAGTGGCAGTGGCCGTTTTTCAGCTGCTTTTGTGGCACCGGTGAAAAATACATTTTCAGATCGGTTACCGAAGTGCGGCTGCCATTTTCGACATCTCTATGCAGCTGGTTTGGTGTCATTTTCTCCGGTGGCTAAGATCTGATATCAACCCTTAAAACGCAAAAATATAGAGACGTAGTGTGCGCACGAAGGCACGCGGCCGCCTGCGCGCATCGACCGAGACGCTTGCCAGTACAATCGTCCTTTCTCCCTTCGTTAAAATTTGTTAGTTTCGTGTCGCTGCCACAGCAGGCCGAGATCTGGATCCGGTCTTAACACGTGCTCTCCAACTTTCTTTCAGTTTCAAAACCTTCTTTTTCTGTGTTCTAGAATGTGGGATGCAGATTCCTGGTAATATTGTTGTTTTGGGAACACCCGTCCGTTGAATATGTCTGGATGTGAATTTACTTCTCTAAACATAGGATATGTGTAGACTTTGGCTCACTGCAGGGAGCTAGAATTGCTTTTGAACTAGGGTGGGAGTAAAAAGTCCATCGCAAAAAGACCGTGCAGGAGTGAAGAAATCAATTCACAAAAGATGGAACTTATGAGGTCGTGACTGATGCTGCATAATGCTGCACGTGATTGTGTAATGGGCATAAACAATATTAACACCAATAATTTGATGCTGCACTTTGCACTTACCTTCCACGGCACTTTAACACAAAACGAAGCAAGGGAATTCAATAACAAAATAACAAAAAATTCAACAAGCATAAAACACTCAAACAAAACAAAACCTTGGATTCCTGCACATCAGCCCATCACCAAGTCAGACACAATAGACATACTTCTGGCTTTTGTTAAGATGGGGTAAAGGAAACAAACATTTTGTCACTGTTTCTTACAACATACCAATGCTTTTTCCATGAAAGTAGCCTAACTAGGCCTAACGTAAAGAGGCCTTACTTCATCTCATCCTGTCTAACCTGCTTGTATCACAGCAGCAGTTGTGAATTACTGATTCTTGCACAGTTCTTATTGCCACCTGCTATGCACTTAACCGACTTAACCTAACTTAGAGTAGCCCATATGTTGTACATCATCTCAACTCACCTATCTGTTGATAGCAGCACTTGCGATAAAAGCATGATATATTTAATTTTGGCTGATTTCAACTTGTCTCTTTATTCATTTCATTTGTGTACGCTTGTTGACATCAGGCAAAGTTGACAACGCACAAATCAAAATACTTGAAATCACTTTGAACAACTTATTTTGATTGCCATGGTTAACCTATGTCAAGGGCAATAATGGGTATGCTCCACAAAGCAATCTCTCTTCTCCAAAAGTGACATAACCCTTACATAACCATGCCAGTATTGCTGCTCGCCTTTTCAGCTGCAGCAAAGGCATCTATTTAGGCTTGTTTATTCATATTTAATGACAAAGTTTGACATGTCAGCTTCACATGCTATATGGGATGGTCCGACTATTTGTTACATACTAATATTTAACTCATATTATAATTGCTATGCAGCTTAGAGTAGCCCTGTGTTAAAAATACTGTGCATTTATACATTACAGTCATTTGCCAGTCAGCAAACCATGACAACAATAGAAAACATCTGGTTAAAGCAACCATGAGGGACCACTTCAAGAAATTTGTGGCAGCTAATCAAAAATATGGAACAAAATAAGTCCATTGCATGCCATGTACACCACACACTATAGGTCCAGGCGGTTGGGTTTCTTCAGAACTGGACCGCAGCGGGAAGTTGGGATGTTTGGCGGTTCATGGTCTGGTACCGCTACTGCTCTGGGGCTCGCCTGAGCGCAGGCAACTCGTGGAGGTGGGCTGCTTTGCGCTGACACCGTCCTGGCTGGGGTGGTGTTGTCCATGCGAGTTGGAGACGGGCTGAGGTTGCGCAGGTGTCGCCGGTTCCTCCGATAGACGGCGCCGTTGGCCGCTCTGATGGTGTACGCCTTGGTTCAGGCCGCTGGTCCACGACGGTCGCTGGTTCCCATCGGCCGCTCTGAGGGTGCTGTACGCGGATGGGCTGTCTGGGACTGAGTGTTGACAGCTCAGTCGCATGCCGGTCGTGTTACGCCTTTTGGGTGGTCTGGCGTTTCACCAGGCGTGGCAGGGCGTCGGCCTGCTCGCTTCTCGGTCGGGTCTTCATGTGCAGATTTCCTCGGACCTCCCGACCTTGGAGGATTTCGGCTGGGCTTGGCAGGTGATTGTCGATGGGCGTCGTCCGCAGGGTGAGGAGCGCCATGAGCACGTCCCTGCCGCTTTCTGGAGCCTTCTTCATGGTCTGCTTCAGCGTTTGGATGGTTCGCTCTATGAAGCCGTTGCTCTCTGGGAAGTGGGGTGAGCTCGTGATGTGCTCGATGCTCCACTCCCTCGTGAAGCAGGCGAACGACTCACAGTCGTACTGTGGTCCGTTGTCACTCCTGATGGTGTCTGGGATGCCGTATTCCGCGAAGATTTCCTTCAGAGCGTTGATGACTGCTTTGCTGGCGCAGTGCTCCGGCATCCCCCTTATGATGGGGAATTTCGAGAAGTAGTCTGCGACGGCCAGGTGCGCTTGGGAGTTCAGGTGGAACAGGTCTGTGCCGATGATATGCCATGGGAGCGTTGGCAGCTCCATTTGTGTCACCGGCTCCTTTTGCCGACTCCTCCTGTGCTTTTGGCAGGTTTCGCACTTCGCCGTGTCCCTCTCGAAGTCTCTGTTAATGTATGGCCAGTAGACACATTCTCTTGCCCGCAGCTTGCACTTGACCTATCCTTGGTGACCTTCATGTATTTTTTGCAGGATTTCTTCCCTCATCTCTTGGGGGATGACGACTCTCTCCCCCTTCAGGACGAGTCCATCTTCAACCGCCAGTTCGTCTCGGCACGACCAGTACCGTCGGAGGGACGGAGGCAGGCTTTTTCGAGATCCAGGCCAGCCTGCGACGATGCACGTCACAGAGCTCCGTCAGCGTTTTGTCGCGCGACGTTTCTTCCCTCAGCTTTTGGAGCTTTCCGGCACCGAAGTGCACGAGATGGATCTGCAGGTCGAGCTCAATGTGGCTGTTTTCTGCCGGCGGGAGGCGCGACAGTCCATCTGCAACAGCATCTGCTTGCCAGCTTTGTAGGTGATCTGCACGTCGTAGTTTTGCAGACGCATCAGCATCCTCTGAAGTCTTGGTGGTGCTGCCCGGAGGTTCTTCAGTTGAATCGTCTCCAGTGGCTTGTGGTCGCTCTCAACGATGAAGTCACGACCGAAGAGGTACGTGTGGGAGCGTTCGCACTCAAACACGACTGCCAGGAGCTCTCTTTTGATGTTCGCGTAGCGCTGCTCGGCTTCTGACAGCGACTTTGAGGCGAACGCGATGGGCTTCCCGTCTTACATGAGGGCGGCTCCCAGGCCTTTCTGCGAGGCGTCGACTTCCACTCGTGTCGGCTTCCTTGGATCGAACTACGCCTTTGGGTTGCTCCTTGTTGGTTCCGTGACCTTGGTTTGTTGTCCCTTGGGTGTGCATCTTGAGCCTCCCGACAGACAGTACTCCAGTGGTTCAGCTTTCCACACACCGTACATGTTGAACCCATGGCTGGGCACTCTTGTTCGTGAAGATGAGCTTTGAAGTCACATCTGGTGCATGTTTTGTCACTTTGTTGGCTTATTTGCACATAGTGCACTGCTTGGGTGGCGTCTTAGAACTGGAAGCTCTTCAGTTGCTGCACGGACGCTTCATGTGTGAGACCCACCTCCAGTACTTTGTCCAGGTTGAGTGTTATCTTTGCTGAGGAGCCCTTTTTGAACCTCAGCATGGCATGTGCCAATGATAATTTGTTCTATGACCCTTTCATTGAACTCCTGGTCATCTCTGAAGGCACACTTTTGAGCCTGGAGTTTACATCTCGATACAAAGTCATCAAACGACTCACCTCCCTCCTGCTTCAGGCGTTGAAGAAACAGCCTGGCCACTCTGAAGTTAGTCTTAGGCTCAACTTGAGTCTGGAATTTGTCCTACACCTTTTTGGGGTTGTCTTCCTCTGGTGGGAGGCCCTATGAGTTGTACAATGTCAGGCCTAATTCTCTCGAGAACAGCAAGACATGGCCCACTTGTTTTTCTTCTTTATTTCTTTCACTGAGAAAAACAGTCCACATTTTTGCTTGAAGAGCTTTAGGGCAAGGCTTCGGCCAGAGCTCCCAATCCATGCGAGGTATGAAAGAATCAGACAGTTTTTGTCTTCTGCTGCGATTGCGACGTCCGTGACGCGCACTATTGAAGCTCCTTATTTGGCTTATCGCTACTAGATATTTCTTCCCTCCATGTGGTATCGTGTCCGAGTCTTAGATATCAGTAATCGATCTTAAACGCCAAATACCGTGCTCGTGTTCTTCGTCTATATTCCAGACCACGCGTCATGCGGCAATATACAAGCGTTATGCGCCACCGAACGCAAACGATAGAAAAGGGAAGCCGTCACTAAAATATAGGACGGCTACCGAGCATGGTAGTATAACGCACTCTCTCCTCCTCTCTCTCTCTCTCTCTCTCTCCTCTCTCTCTCCTCTCCTCCTCTCTCTCTCCTCCTCTACTCTCTCTCTCTCTCTTTCTCTCTCTCTCTCTTCTCTCTCTCTCTCTCTCTCTCTCTCTCTCTCTCTCTCTCTCTCTCTCTCTCTCTCTCTCTCTCTCTCTCTCTCCCTCTCTCTCTCTTCTCTCTCCTCTCTCTCTCTCTCTCTCTCCTCTCTCTCTCTCTCTCTCTCTCTCTCTCTCTCTCTCTCTCCTCTCTCTCTCTCTCTCTCTCTCTCTCTCTCTCTCTCTCTCTCTCTCTCTCTCTCTCTCCTCTCTCTCTCTCTCTCTCTCTCTCTCTCTCTCTCTCTCTCTCTCTCTCTCTCTCTCTCTCTCTCTCTCTCTCTCCTCTCTCTCTCTCTCTCTCTCTCTCTCTCTCTCTCTCTCTCTCTCTCTCTCTCTCTCTCTCTCTCTCTCTCTCTCTCTCTCTCTCTCTCTCTCTCTCTTCTCTCTCTCTCTCTCTCTCTCTCTCTCTCTCTCTCTCTCTCTGTCTGTCTATCTCTCTCTCTCTCTCTCTCTCTCTCTCTCTTTCTCTTTCTCTTTCTCTCTATGTCCCTGTCCCAGTCCCGGTCCCGGTCCCGGTCCGATTCCCTATCTGTCATATCTCGCTCTCGCTCTCCGCTAGTCGGGTCTGTCCAGTCTCGTCCCGGCTGTGTGGTGATGTGCTGTGCTCATAGCCGGTGATGGTGAGTTGTGGCCATGGCTGGAGATCGGCCGTCCGGGCACCCTGGATATTAAGAAGTGACGTTGGGCCAGAGGTGCATGCCCTTGTTTTGAACCCAGACAGCTGTGACCCCCGTTCCACTGTTCCGCTGGGAGATCGCCATCACTGGCAGTACAGCACACTTACCGCCATTGCGTTGCTTCATTGATCATATCTGTCATATACATAAGTGCTAGTGTTGAGGCGTTGAAACTTCAGTTACCATGTCTCGCCCTGAAAACACCGATGGTTCAAGTGTTTGTGATGTGAAGGTTAGAAACATTTGAATGTTTCTTCCCTGAGAGCTGTTTCCTCTTTTCCTTCTTGGGTCGGTCGTCTTCTTTTAAGCTACAAGGACCCTTATATCTAGCGTTTTGAAGCGTGACGCATTTGGTGCTTTTGTTTTAGTGGTGGTGACGCACGGCTAGGTACGATGGTTACATTATGAACTACTTTCTCCGTTCGTGCAATTCACGCCGTGTTCAGTGAGTGATTTGGCTTGATTTCCGTGTGATAATTGTGCTGCTCTTTTGTGCTATTAATAAAAAACTTTGTTTTCTTTATGAAACGTGTGATGATAATTGTTTTATTGTCCCGCCAATGCTGTGCATACAGTGTTGCAAAACACTGCAAGGATGTAACCAGGTCCATTAAGTGCGTCTACATCTTCCCGTCTTTGGACCACCATGACGCATTCTGATATTCATCAGGCGGAAAACGTGTTTTGTCACTTGTCTTGTCCCTTGCCCGTTGTGGGAATCAGGTTTGGTCTGGATTTATTCATAATATTGTTTGAGGATAAGTTGCAAAGCGAACCCAGTTTGTCTCAAGAGAGAACCGGTAAAAAGTCTGCATCATGTTTATTCCTATGACTCATTTTCAGCTTTTGACTACGAGCGCTTCTTTGCTGACCAGATTCAGAGGAAGAAGGAGGACCATTCTTACCGAATCTTCAGAAAGGTATGTGGCGTCCATCAAGTTGTGTGTGAAGACAATAGCATCTGATGCTTCTAACTCAAAAGACATGATTGTGTCATTGAAGTCTGATCCGTTAGTTGTGTAGCAGGTGAATGTTAGATGGGTATGAGTCATTGTTACCCCATGACTGGCCGGATGTGTCTATTGCCGCACGAGGTCGGGACGACTCTCTTCAGCTCTGGAGATGCAGGTGTCTCCCGCGAACACACACACACACACACACACACACACACACACACACACACACACACACACACACACACACACACACCACACAGCACGCACGCACGCACACACGCACACACGCACGCACGCACGCACGCACACGCACACGCACACGCACACGCACACGCACACGCACGCACGCACGCCACGAACCAGCCGCGATCGGCGACACTGCGGATTGTGAACCGCCCGTGGCCTGACCTGACCTGATCGCACCTGTCTCCCTGCAGGTGCTCCGAAACGCCGAGCAGTTTCCGGCTGCCAAGGAGTACTCGTTTGGCGAGCGTGACGTCACGGTGTGGTGCAGCAACGACTACCTGGGCATGTCGCGTCACCCGGCTGTCACTGGCGCCGTGATGTGAGCCAAGGCACAACCTGGACATGTCGCGTCACCCGGCTGTCACTGGCGC